TGGGCAATATCTTCGGACGGCTAAGTGTGTGTGTGTGTTGTTCGTCCGTCAAATTGACAAGGACCATCTAGACATCCGGTTAGGAGTTTGGGGGCGGGGGTCACGGTGAGTGCCTAGGTGGCTTGCTAGTCCGATCCGCGCTCGGAAAAGTCTCTGGCACCGCAGGCAGGGGATAGTTGCGGACGTCGGTGGTCTGAGCCTGCGTTTCTCATCTGTCGCTTTCCTTCTGGTTTCATGAGATTGAGCCCCATTCTCGATAGCTGATCTCCACTTGGCTCTGCCCTAATCTGTCTGCACCCATTCAATAGGGTTGATGTTGAAGGCCTTTAGTTAGTGATGCTTTCAGTGTGTCTTTGTGTCATTTTATTTGACCTCTTTGTCTCGCCACCTGATGCCGAGGAGTTTCCTGAGACAGGCTGTGTGAAACTGATTTAATTTATTGGCGTGACGCTAAATAAACTGTCCGCGTTTCACATCCGTAGAGCAATGTCTAGAGGAAGGCTGCGCGAAAATGGTAAATCGACTATTTCAAAGTTAATCCCAATCCAATTTGGGTGGTAAACAAGGATGAGTGTTTAGGTCCCAAGAAGTTCGGTTTGCTAAAAAAAAAAAAAAAGAGTTAAGAATTGTATGCTGATGACCAAAGTGACACTGAACAACCCAAAAGAAAAATGTGGTGGGCGGGGATCGTTTCCTTGGATAAATTGTATGAGAGTCACTTAAGACAAATAACACCATTTGCCACAAAAGTTGTTAGGTCATTTTTCGCGGTGCGCAGGACGTGCGCCAAAGCTAAGACGAGTTTCACAATATTGAAATCTTTCGGCTTCGGTTTTGGCCGAAGGTCTCGTTAAACTTTTGGTTTTTGGCTTCGGCCGAAAGTCTTGTTAAGCTTCTGGTTTCGGTTTCGGACGAAAATCATTTTTTAACTTTCGGTCTGGTTTCGGTTTCCGTTAGCTTTGTGGTATTGCTTGACAAAAAACGGTTGATGAAGGCAATGAACTCTCACTAAGACATAGGGCAATAGATTACGTTGCATATTATTATAGAAAATGAGCAGTTAGCTACTTTTGTGTGTGTTACACCGGGCATTTTCTGAAGACATCCGGACCTGTTATAAAAAAACCTGCCTCCCGTAAAGCCCTTCCCCTCCCCCCTTCTTTTTGCTTTCCTCGCTGATGCTTCATTACAGGTAAGAGTTATTTTTCATTAAATCTTTTTTTTTTTAACTGATGTTAGTTCGCTGATGAAGGCTTCTTGCCGAAACGTTCGTTCTTTTGTTGCGTCCCTCCCCCCACCACCCCCCAGGTTTTCACAATATTTTGTTTCACTGCTTTTCTAAGCCCTAGTAGACATTATTATTACATGTTTGTGCGTTTAAACACCCCCATGCGTTCTATTTAAATTAGTTCAGTGAAGCATTTTACAAACAACGATACTTCAAGGAGTCCCTGGCAAGACTTTAACTTACAATTCACCACTTAAAAGGGAAATACACCAACCGGTATTGATAATTCTATACTTCAATGTGTTCTTGCTATTGCGTATAAAAGGGGGTGGGGTGGGGACGGAAAGGGCGGGCCGCACTGGGCGACACTTCTTTCCTTAGAATGAGGGGCAGTATTTTCGGCCGACTGTAAGAATGACTGTTGCTCATTCCTGCCCAAGACAATCAGGGACTGGAACCATCTTTCAAAAGGAACAGTTGAGGCGACAACACTAGACACATTTGTGTCTATTGCCTCAAGCCTTCAAACCCCTAGTGCATAATTTCCTCATCACCACCAGTAACAGAAACATTGCAAATCCCATCTACATGCATAGGAGCCAAAATGATCAATAAATTGATCGTGGGCCCTTAAGATATAGAAGAAGAAGAAGAAGAATTTTTTTTTTAGTGGTAGGGGGAGAGAAAAGCTTAGCCCGTCCGGGCGGCCCTATAACCCTAGATATGCCACTGCGTCCATGTCAAAACATGCAGCTCTATACAACTGTATATCCTGATATTCAATGTCTCCATTTCAAAACATATAACTCTATACAACTGTATATCCTATAACTATAATTCAATGTGTCCAGATTGAAGAGCTCAGAACACTCCAAGATGACGTCGCAGAACTCTCCAGTAAAGTTGATGACATCGCCAAGACCTTGGCCGCCAACAGAGAGCGCAGAAGCGTCATTGCTGGAGAAATCAGTCGCCTTGATGACACGGATGTGGCCCAGAACCTTGAAATCGGCAAACTAGAGACACTGGTGGGGTTTTAGTCAGATAGAGACACTGGTGGGGCTTTAGTTCGTTTTAGTCAGATGTGCAGGGTAACAAATAACAGTTGAAGTATAGGGACTGCAGTATAAAATTATTTATTGTAAAATATATATGTATATTATAATATTCTTAGCTGATAGTAATATATAGATGAAATAAGCCCTTGAAATATTTATTGTTCTTTTACTAAAGGTCAAATTTGAAGGCGACCGCCTGGCTGAAGCTGCTTATAAGGTGAACAATAATAAGGCCAAGGCCAGCGACATCTCTGACAATTTGGACAAAGCTATCAGGGTCATCAATTATGAGCAAGGTCAACAAAAATATTTCCATTTCCGTCCTGTCTTGCTTCCTCTTACTCCACTAAAACACCTATGAACTCCCTCCTCCCTCCCCCGATAATTTTAGAATCCCATATTCATATTTTTTTTTAAAAATGTTTGCAGATGTCTTTTTATCAGCTATGCTCAAATAGTTTCTCGCAGGCCCGCACCAGGGGGGGGGGGCAACCATGGCCCTTGTCAGGGGCCCGGGCTAGATAGGGGCCCACCTTTTCCCGGGTTTTAAAATATAAAATATTTCCATTTCCCTCCTGTCTTGCTTCCTCTTACCCCACTAAAACCCCCAAGAACCCCCTCCCCCCCCCCCCGATAATTTTAGAATCCCATATTCATATTTTTTTTTAAAAATGTTTGCAGATGTCTTTTTATCAGCTATGCTCAAATAGTTTCTCGCAGGCCCGCACCAGGGGGGGGGGGGCAACCATGGCACTTGTCAGGGGCCCGAGCTAGATAGGGGCCCACCTTTTCTCGAGTTTTAAAATAGACGCACATGTTTGAAACACAAAAAGGGCCCGAACTATGTCAGCTGCCTGGTGCCCAGAATTTCCCAAGTGCGGGCCTGTCTCGGGATGATTTTTAAAATAATATCATTGCTTCAATAATCTTAGACAGTCGTGTACAATCTTATGAACTCATTTCTCAATTATTTCCCTCTCGACTCAATGCAGAACACACATTCCATTAGCTTGTAAAACATATATTTAGTTCTCTTGTTTAAATGCGACAGCTTTTTTGTGTGTCCAGGTGAGACCTTCACGGTGGGGGTTTCGTCTGCAAATCCAAGTGTCGTCTACAATTTCATATTCCCCTTCCCCGCTGTTCCCGATGTTCAGTGGGGTATCACTGGAGGACATATTGAGGACCTTCCAAGCTATGATAAAACTGTAGGCGGTAATGATTACAACAACAAGGCAGACAACTCCTACGGCTCACAGGGCAACTACAAGGATGAATCTATCAATGGAAGAGTCAGTGTAAGTCACGGAAATTTTGCATGACATTTATATTGCTAATGTAAAGACACAAAGTGTAAGGCAATATCAGGTGTAATCAACCGGTGTAAGGTGATATTAGGTGCAATCAACAAGGTTAGATTTTATCATTTTTTATCACCCATTGAATGTAACATGCTAAATCAATATTAATTTTTTTTTTATTGATTCTCTCTCTATCTATCACTCTCTCTTTCTCATCTTCCCCCCACCTCATTAAAAAAAAATATATATTTTCCATGAAATATTTGTTACGGCCTATAAACCCACCAAGTCAAGAATCTGTTGTTTTTTTTTAAAATTATGTTATTGTTGTAGAAATGTAAAAAGTGAGACTGCACAAATTGTAGCACAAGGTCTGTTCAACACATCGTTTTGATGTCTCTTCTTAGGTTACCGCCAACGCCACTAGTGCCACCGTCAGCCTGGTGGACAACAGTGAAGGCTTCCAGATCTCAAGGTTTAGAGTGAGACTAACCGCGACCCTCATCGACAGCGGTTACCTCGAGTACACCAGCAAATCCTCAAACTACTACTAGGATATGTTGCAACGATGATGACATCTCCCCTGGACTCAATGGAAAAGATGTGAACCATTGTGATTGTGTATCGTGTTTTAGGGAAACTAGAGATGTTTGTTTAGGCAGTATTTTTTCATTTCTGTTTTTTAAATATTGAATAATTAAAAATTGTAGTCAAGTAAATACGGTATTTTGTTCTTTTTTAAACATTTATTTTTCTACTGGAAACCATTCCTAATTCCTTTTTATTTGGGGGACGAGCGAGTCCCTAGTTAATAAAGCATCCGTTTTCTTAATCAGTTGGGTGTTGCCGTAAGTCATTTCCATACTTTGGATCTCGCCTCCAACCCCCTTATAACCGCTTCTAGCTTCAGCCTTGGGCACTCAATCAACATGTGATGCCAGATAGATCGTCTTTGGTATTTGTGAACACTAGTGGCAGATGCTGGTTTTTATGTGGGTTTACTCTAAAAAAATAACTACTGGTTTTTTTTGTTCCCGAAAGTAGTGCCATAATGCACCTTTATGTTTCCCTCCGTTGTTGAAGGGTGAAGGGACTGGGGAAAGTTTACCTTGTTCAATATCCCAAAGATGTTCTGTGAACCTATCTGCCAATCTTCTCCCTGTTTCGCCTATATAACTAGAATGACATCTACGGCACACAATCACATATGTCACATTCCGACGCAAGCATGTGAAGCCCTCTCCTTTGATGGTAAAGGTACCTTTAGGGAGCAGAATGTTTTTTTGTTTGGAGTGTATACTGATCACACTTGATCTCATGGTAATATTTTTAACTGAAACCACCCAGTAAATCAATGTTCCCACTTGTAAGCTCCAACCAACACAGGAACAAGACAGTTGACAGACACGTTGAAACAAAGAAAAAAGAAGACATTTTAATTCTGTAAGATAATAAATCAACTGAATAAATATTCCGAACACCTCGACGGAACCACAGACCAAACGTGAGAATATTAACACAGTAAACACCAACAGTTTCTGTCATACAAGTTATTAAACAGCACCGATGCTTGTCATACATTTATTCAACAGCAACAACTTCAGTCCTGCATCTTATCAAAAAGCAATTACTTCTTTCATCCAACATACTACACAGCATGTTATAACCAAAAACCTTGCATACCATAAAGTACAGTCATCCAATGTGTTTTTTTACTAGCATGAACATTTCACATCACTGTGCTGTAATGTCCAAGTATCTTCAACTTCAACATAAAGGTGATTTCTCTAAAGAAGCATGGGGACTGGAATAAAACTAACTAGCCAATAAAACACAAAATAACATTTTTTAAATTATTATGATCCTAACATTTAATATATAACAATGAATACTGTGGAAACACTAAAACAATTCTTGTACCAGTGGGGAAAAAAATCTATTTTCATAAACAAAACAAAAAAACAGGGGAAAGCTAAAGTTTTATCAAATGCAATTTTCTTTTTAATTTGTCTGTTAATTTAACTGAATTTTTTTCAAAAAAGTATTGCAGAATATTCTATGTCAGTCAAATAGGAGTGAACAAGATAGCCCTGGAGAAATGCCTTTTTTTCTTTTAGTTTAAAAGATGGACCACCGGAAGTTATTTCCCTTTGCAACTGATCTCTCTTTGCCATTTTCTGACAAATTGGAAAGGATAATTCTGGCACCAAACTTGACCTATGGAATGGAAAAATGCCCTGTACAACTAACATCTTGATAAAATATACATAGATACTGTAATCATATCACAACGTCCACTCAACAGCCATCATCACACTGAAAAACTTGCACTGTTTAAAAGCACCAAAATGTTTCCAACTCTCAAGCCATTCAATTCAATACCAACCAAAATATGGTAATAAATGAAAAATAATTATGTAATTAACCTTCTTAATCTAAAGAGAGACTTCCATTCTCTATACAAGAATCAATTTGTATTTTTGCTCATAAACTATCTGATTATTTGGATAACATTTTAAAGAGTTTTTTTCTCTAAAGAAAAAGAAATCATTTATTTTATTGAGCTGTAATGTTAATGAACATAAAAAAACAATATGAAAAAAAAAAGCTAATGACACAGTGTTTCTGAGACAATGTCTGTCAATATCCTGAGTTAAGATCCTGTTTAAAAAAAAAATTTTAAAAAAAGAAAGAATTTCCCCTTTCATGACTAAAAAAAACCAACTTACATAAATAAAGATGATGCCATGGGGATAAAACTGTCATCATGTTCAATAATTGAATACAAATAACACCAAAAACCCTGACAAAGGTTGAATCACAACAGAGATGAAGAGAAAAACTTTGGAACAGCTGATGCTGGCTGTCACCTTCAAATTGACACACATGTGATTACATTGGAGGGATATTCCCACACTGTGTAGAAAGGGATCTTTTTAAACAGGAAAAAACCAATAAAAAAAAAAATACCAATGCATTCATTAATTTGATTTAAATTATGAAATCGCTCACCAGTTAATTACAAGTGAGAGAGAGTGATAAACATATAGTTTTTACAAGTGGTAGTCATCAATAAAGCCAAATGCACTGACCTAACCATGTTATTATAAGAATCTTTGAGAATCTCTTGATTAGACAAACTGAGTCAACACCTGATTCCATTCTTTTAATTACCAGGTAATAAGATTTGAGTATCAAGTTTTTAAAATTGATGTAATATTTGTCTGATAGGCTCTTGCCTAAAAAATGTAGAACATAGTAAAAAAATTAAAATAACATACCTTGTATAAAATAAAATGAACAACATTTAAAAAAAAAAAAAAATTGAACATCCCAAACTGTACATTTACTCAGAGATTGCTTGGAATCTACAATAAGCCATGACTTCGATAAAGATATCAATACACTAAGGATCTCAATAATTTAAATTATGACAACAAAATGTTACACATCAACCAACCCGTTCAACTCACACCCAGCACATATAATAACCCATGAATAAACTATCGAAACTGTCAGCACACAACATGTTCACCACACAATCACTTGCAGCTCATCAATAAAAAAATTTCTCTAACGATTAACTACATCACATTATTGACTACATATCAACTTTTACTTCCACGCCCTTTTTAAAGCTTTCTTTGCTGCAAACTTCTGTGTTATAAAAGAGAAGAGAATCATGAGTCCCAGGACTCCACCAATGAAGAGGTAGTCAAAGTCTTCCTTCAACACATCGAACATCCGAGATGGCATGACACGGGTGTAGAAGATGTCTGTGGACATAGAACACCATAACTGGAAAATTATTGCCTGACCTTACATTTAGGTATGGTAACCAAGGAGATTTGCTTATTCAAATGGAGGCTGACATGTGGACGTGGAGGATGACTATCATTGACACGTGGACATGGAGGATTACATGATAATATTTTAACACTTGATATCCAGGACAAGACAAAAATAATGAATAATCTCTCCTTAGCTTCACACCAATGCTAACATGGTTACATTCTTCCTAAATGGATAGATTATAACTTTTACATGAAAAAAGCTGTTAACGGTCCCATTAATGAAGTGAAATGTTGGCAAATTTTGCTTTTTTTTCTATTTACTATGTGGCTATAAAGTGTTAATGAGAAAAGAGGAAAAATATCTGATTTTTAAAGGTATTTTCCTGTTGGAATGACCATCCCTTAAATTTTAGTGTTTCATTAAAAATAAATATGATTAGAGAGATTGAGTAATGATTGACCAACTCCATAGACAAAGATAAATATGATTGAAGAGATATTAAATAGTGAGTAATGACTGACCGATTCCATAGACAAACACCAATGATGTGGACTCCAGACCAGCAGGGGAGGTAAATACACCATTGACATTAAACACACTGCGGTTATAGTTGACAAAGGCTTCGGCACTCAGGGGAATCTCTGGCACATATGGAATGGTTCCTTCTTCCCTGGATGATGAAGAAGGCCATGAATTAGTTTTTCTAACCATGAAATTGTGTCTATTGTATAAATTCAAAATTACTCATCCAACGACCTCTGATAATTTCCATTCTCTGTGTTACAGTTTAGATTTCACAAACAAACAAAAATCGCTTCGAATGGGGTGGTGACAGGTAAAATAAATGCTAGAAAAAGCCAAGTCCTTGCCTGCAACTTTTAAAAAAAAATAAAATACAACACATTTCCGCTTAGTTCCTTTCTATGAAAAGGTAAAGATATGGATATGAGTGAAATTAATCACCAGAATCATGTAAATTGAATAACCTTGTTTTTCATGTTTTCTTTTGTTTTTTGCTATCATTAAATGTGCATTTTTGCAATCACTCAAATTTTGTTTTTTGCTATCATTAAATGTGCATTTTTGCAATCACTCAAATTTTGTTTTTTGCTATCATTAAATGTGCATTTTTGCAATCACTCAAATTTTGTTTTTTGCTATCATTAAATGTGCATTTTTGCAATCACTCAAATTTTGTTTTTTGCTATCATTAAATGTGCATTTTTGCAAACACTCAAATTTTGTTTTGTTTGTAGAATCTCAAGTCAGTTTAAAACATTTTTGCTAAAAAATGAAAATTTATAAGTTTCAGCTTATTGGTTGATTTTTTTTCAATGCTGAAAAAGAAAAAAAAAATTTATATACACAATAAACAAACTTTAGCTACACGGCACTTGTAAAAAGAGGAGATATAGTGCATATAAACATTTATATCTAAACTCAGTCTAAGTCTGTCAGTATAATCTCTAAATGTTAGCGATCACTCACATGGTTTCTTGAGTTGGAATGACAGGTCTCCTAGGGTCAAGTAAAGCTTTTGGTAATGATAAGATGCCTCCAATTTTTAAGGCAACTGAAAGATAAAAAAAAATTATTTTTTTATCAGTAACATTTCAAATTGAAAGACCATCTCAGTGTTTCGAATCCCGACGAGAAAAAAATATGTATAGCAACAGAGGTAAAATAAATGTGGCTTTGATGATGCTCTTTATTTTAACTGATACATAACCTTAGGAAGTCATTTTTTTAGGCTCTGTCATTCGTTCTGTCTTTATTCAAGTAAATGAATCCTAATTTTCATTTATTATTCAATGTTTGGTCTTTATTTAAGCTAACAAAACTTAATGCTTTTTATAAGATCCTCTGTCAGGTAAGCCAAGTAAGAAGCTAAGCATTATTAGTTTTAAAAAATAGCATTCGAAACAGAAAAAAAAAAAGCTACCATAAAAAAACACATACTAATGATATTTTTGCTTGCAATCCCTTTCTCTGTTACTGTAGCTTCCATGGCATAAAGGGGTTCTCGGAATATGTAGGACTGTCTCAAAACTAGAGGGGGCGGTGGTGGGGAGAATGATGAGAAAGCTGTAGAGTTGCTCTGTTCCTTGCCCTCATAGAGCTCCAAGACTCCCATCTCATGACGGCGATGCTTCTCATTGTAATAGAAATACTGGAGAGGACATTGTGAAAATGGATAAACAAAGGAAATAGACAACAGTGGATAATAGAGAAACATTGAATTAAATTATCACAGGAATCTACAGTATCTGTTAGCGTCACTTAAATGGGGATAACCAATGGAGAATGAGATGTATATAACTATAAAGCATTCTTTAACCTTGTCCTTTTGGTTAATGGTTATTAATATGAAACAAATCCTGTTAACTATCAATACTGCCAGATTAGTTCATCTTTCTGTTCTCTCTCTCTCTTTTTTTGATGTTGAAGGCTTCTTGGTCAAAACAAAGTCCTCCCCATAATACACTTATTGGTTATTAACACTCTTTAAATTTCTATAAAATCAATCCTTTCTAGTGTCCTTCATCACCAAATTACATCAATTTAAAAAATGTTTCGGGAAAAACTTACCACTATCCAGTTCTCAGAGTGAACTACTTTGACAGGTCCACGTGACCTTTTATGAGTTTGATGGTAAACCATGTGACCTGTCACCCCATCAACCAGATAAACAGAGAAGAAAGGTGTCGGACCTGCAAACAAAGTAGTAATTGTGTGACTGTGTATTTTCTCTAAATGTCGACTAAGTTCTGGTTTATTTCATGGTTATGGACTGGTGAAACGTTGACAGCGGTTAAACCTCTGACGTTTGACTAAGACAATGTAAGACCAACTGTTTACTACCTTTACTGACGGAAGACTGTTGCTGTTCCTCCCCCTCTGCCACAATAGCCACAAGATTGGGGTTCAGATATTTATACAGCACACTGCGGTCGCCTAAGACTCGGCCTTGAGAGTGAACATGCTCTAAAGAACAAAGTATTAAAAAAAAAATGTCATCTTTCATTATCTATTTAGTAACTCATTCCCGATGGTTGCGACTAAATGCGTCCTTTGGGGGTTTGACGGATGCGTCCAAGTGCGTCCCGGCGCATAGCGACACACCTCTCTAATTTTTAGTTAAAAATAGCAGTGAAATCTCGTGTCCCAGCTGTGGCATGATTTTAATTTAAAAACCGGAAGTTTTTATATCTTGTTTCACTTTAAAACTATATGTGCTTCAGAAAGGCGCGTCTATATGTAGCATGTGTTCGTCCGAGGTGCCAAAAATCAATTTTTTTGGCCATTGTTCATTATTTTTCGTCACTACTGTTATGTTTTTATTAAACCTTATTCATTCGTCCTTAATTCATTAACATTTATTATTATTTAGCAGCTTAAAAAAATATTTTAAAAATGTGCATTAATTTCAAAACTAAGTTTCTTCCCTTTTCTCTAAAAAATAAATTAAGTACGGAAGTAGCACTGCCGGAGGGAATGAGTTAAATAAAATTTGAAATATGCTGATTTGAGTTGTAACGTCCTTTACTATAGCATGATTAAGTGGTGCACAGACATGAGCTTCACCTGGGGTCGACAGTAAAAAAAAAAAAAGGGTTTAAAGACCCGTTACATAACACCACATATTTCAAAGTAGGGCTCACCAACAGCTCTCTTCCCATAAACTCCTGTAATTGTTTGTTGAGACTTTTGTAAGTCAAGGTTCCAGACTTCTTCAAGTGCCAGTTTGCTCTGCTGTCCAGGAATAAGTCTAATAAACAAAAGAACATTTTAAAAGAAGGAAAAAAAAAAAACATATTTAAGTATTTTAACACCACTGGAGGAAAAATCAAAATAATATATATGTATATTTGCATATGTATATAACTAAAAATTGAATTAAATATTGTGTTGTTTCAAATATAGGCCAGAATTTTTCACCTATTGTAAATCTTTCAACTAAGGGTGTGGCTAACAAATTTGACATAGCAAAAGAAAAAAAAAAGCATTTCTGAACAACAGTAAGTAAGAGTGCAGGTTAAAGTGATTGCAACGGACGCTCTGAACAATATGGAAACTATTAGAGAAGTATCTAACAGAACATTTTCAGTGTCAAGCCACACTACCAAAAAAGGAATAACATGAGATGAAATAATTAAACTTAAACAGCTATTGTACCTGTATCCTGTCATGATGCCAGTCTCAGGGTTGATGAGGTGAAAGAAATATTGCATGTGTGATTCACGGAGAGCAGATTCACTGGAAGCTGGATAAACATGGGCCTGAAATGGACATTAACTGTAAATAAACATGGGCCTGAAATGGACATCAATTGTAAATAAACATGGGCCTGAAATGGACATCAATTGTAAATAAACATGGACCTGAAATGGACATCAACTGTAAATAAAGATGGGCCTGGAATGGACATTAACTGTAAATAAACATGGGCCTGAAATGGACATCAACTGTAAATAAACATGGGCCTGAAATGGACATTAACTGTAAATAAACATGGGCCTGAAATGGACATTAACTGTAAATAAACATGGGCCTGAAATGGACTTTAAGTCAATAAACATTGAGGGGACTGACAGCATTTTTAAAATATATAACACCTTTAAGGTGTGCAGTAATGTTTCAATAACCCTTCACTCTGTATAAATCTTTAAACAAAATTTGAAACTTTCATTTATAAACTGAGAAAGGGACCCAGACCTGAATCTTGTCATCAATAAGGATAATGCCTCGAAGAAACTCAGAATCCAAATCAGTGATCATTTCTGCCTGTAGGACTTTGAAACCTGTGTCATAGGAATGACCTTGTTTTCCCATGGTTAGGGCTCCAGTCACAGGGTTGAATGAGACAAGAAGACCATTGCCAGTTTTCTGGTAAAACAAAAGCAACAATTCTGCATGAAAACTCAACGTAAGAGACAATTTAAAACAATTCTTAGATTCCATATAAAAACATGGAATTATAAGTCAATCATATGATAGGTAAATTCAGATAATAGGTAAATTCAGACAATCGATACACTAAACGTATTTACCTGATTAACTCCAAGGACGGTGCACTGAGGTTCATGTGGGAAATGGGCCGTAGATCTCTGAACTATCAATACAAGTTTTTGGTCGCCGTACCGATTAAATGGTGTCAATTCAGGTATGAATTGTTGCCAAGCAATTTTACCTGTGTGACTTCTTATGCCATAAAGCTGCAGAGATGATTTTAAAAGAGTTAAAAATCTTATGCAAACATGTTTTTAATTTTTTTTTTATTTTAAGAGCACAAGATATGAATTATTTGTGTCTATACTTTCTTTGATTATAAAAGGAACATAACGCAAAATATGGTTCTTAACAGAACTTAATTTTAATTACATTTATTAAATGTTCTTAACAGTACTTAAGTTTGATTACATTTATTAACAGTTCTAAACTGTGCTTAATTTTAATTAAATTTATTAAAAGTTATTAACAGAACTTTATTTTAATTACCTTTATTAAAAGTTCTTAACAGTACTTAATTTTAATTACATTTAATTAATTTCATTTATAATAGATATTATTGTAAGTTATAAAATATAATTCAGTGTTATAAAATGAGATCCTTAAGCCACCGATTCATATTAATGCTCAATTTGATGTGACATGTGGCAATGTCTATATCAATACAGAAAATGAGAAACAATTTACATTTTACTGACTGCGGCGGTATAGCTTAAATCTCAACAAGAGCCAGAGTCTTCTCATCTTAGTTTACTGACTATTTATGCAACATTATTTTATTGTTCATTACGATACAGGCCATTAGTGACAATTTTACCAGTGAAGTATCATCAATATTTTAGCTTACGACTTTAACCCTAAAAAATGCTACATTTCTAAAAATCAATTTATCAACCAATATCCCCACTTCAAAGCAATTATAGATAAAATTTGAAATGTTCTTTTAAATGAGACAGAACTTTTAGCCAACAAAGGGTTCCAGGTAGTAAAGGAACTAGGCAGCGAAGGACCTGTATATTTTATTTACCATTCATCAGTCACTTAGCTGGGACCTGTACATTTTATTTACCATTCATCAAACACTGATCAAATGAAAAAAACTCACCTTTCCGGCTGCAGTTGCCACAATGATAATCTTGTGTAAATTAAAGTCATCTCGGATTAGATCTTCTTCTTGGGGTTCTTCTTCTTCAATGGCTTCTAAGGATTTGGCATGGTGATGATGGTGGCCTAATGCTCGCTCTATCAGTGTATGAGTGAAGCTCTAAAAAAATATACAAATATATTATGTAATTAAACATATCCTTTTTGTCTGAAATCATCATAAGACACAAGTCAGCAGATCTGTGTGAAGGGACTTGGATTTTCTGAATCCTTATAAATCTCAATTCTTAAAACCATTTTTCCACAATTAATTGTTACCCTTTTGCTCAATTACTCGCCCGCCCTGTGGTGTAGTGGTAACTTTGTCTGCCACTCCACCAAAAGGTTGTGGGTTTGAATTAAAGAGGGATCATCCTCAGATTTGGGTAATAACCAGAGGTTGAATGGACTTAGTAGCCACCTACGGTAGCTTTTCTTGGAACAGTGGTGAGCCCAAAGAAAAAAGATAAACCTCAGCCACCTAAGTCAATCGATAGCAGTCAAATCGCTGTAGGTTTACCAGTTGTTATAACTGATGGAAATAAATCTGAAATGCAAACTCATTAAGAACCAAATATGAAAACTGTACTGTTGCAGAACAATTTTGGTGTGCTGTTGTGGTCAGAGGAGCATGTAGAAATTCCGCTTATCTTTTGAAATAAATTTTTTAAATTGAATTTGCTTTACAAGGTCTGTTCTGAGGCATTTAATCACTGTCGTATAATTCTCCGGTAAAATCGTTTGAAAATGATTTTTTTGCAAATAGTCGGGTCATTTAAAAACTTTAAGATATCAAAATTCATTTATTAATTCAATGATTTTTACAAATGTGAATAATTATGATGTTTATTTTGCACAAAGCCCTATGAGTTATTTTTGGAATAAACAATCTCTTCTGGCTTCAACTGAATAACACAGGATTGGATGGAAGAGAACTAAGACACCCAAAGGGCTATTGCTGAAAACATGCATGAAGTTCACAGGCATTGTCATGTTGGTGGACAGCGCAGAAAAAACAAAATTGTGTATGATCCATAGAGACCTGATGCAGAAAGATAGAAAAAAGATTTTTGTAATAGAAACCTGACCCTACAGACAGCTCCAGAAGAGGCATTAGACAGAAAAACATTGCGTTCCTTGGTTTTTTCCATAAAGTCGGCTCATGAAGACAGTATAAATGAATAAATGGACTGAATGATCTTAAGTAATTTTTGGTGCTGGGAGTGGATAAATGTTAAAATGTTCTTTTCATTATGAGTGATAGCTTGATAGAACAAAACATTTAGTACTTACTTTCAGCTGTGAGAATTGGGCCTTCAGTCTCTTAAAAAACATAGCAACAATGTCCTCTGGAAAAAAATATAAACATAGAAATATAAAATGGGAGCACCTCCTATTTTGTTAAGACCAACAGCTGAAACACAGAAGCTTAACATATTTTCTAATTTGATGTGCATAAAATAGTTTATAGAAAAATAGTTTATTCACTAGCGCTACCACTAAAAATCCATGTGCACCACATCCTGTACCTTCTTTAGCACCAAATTCATCTTCAAATTTGGCTTGGTTCTCTGAAACAGGAAGGTCCACCATCTGAACAGCCAATATATAAGCCAGAGCTTCTTCTCTTCTCCAGTGAGCCTTATCTGATTTACAAGGAAAATGCCATATAACGTATCACATGTGAATATTTTAATTCATCATATTTAAATCAGTGTCACTATACTGATTAGTGAAACAATGAGTAGCAGACCTGTTTACCCCCAAACCCTTAAAATCGTACAATATCATCATATAATCGTTCAATACATTCTCTTTATAGAGCAAAAACGTGCTGTATATATAATGTATACACCTCAAAATCGTACATTGTACGCCAAAATCGTAAGAGTAAACAGGTCTGGAGTAGGGTAAAAAATGTAAATATAAAAATGTATTGAAATTTTGTTAAAAACTTGTTATGGGAAAAGAGAAATCAAATCTTTTAATGTTGCAATTCATAATCTTAATCAGCTATTTGTATGCTTTCAATAGGCATTCAAATGAACTATACTATTTTAATTGTTGTAGCCCCCAATAAATATTAACAAATGTAACAATAGTGTTCTCTCTATAAGCCAACACCGATAATAGTATATTTAAAAAATGATCAAGAAAGCACTAGAGTAAATAAAACTTCTTTACATAGCAATAATAATATTAATAATGCCGAAAAGGTTGTCAATATAAGTGGGTTTCATAATGAAAAAGCAGGAATTATTTTAAAATTTTGTGTTAATATTTTGTTAGGAGAAAGCTAAAGTCTTATAAATGATAGGTTTTTAGATGACCAGTGATAAGTAGAAAAGTTGATAGTCTCAGTTACATTGAGGTGTTCAACATCTCTTTATAATCAGTTAACTTGTGAATGGTATAGGTTATGTATCCTCAAACTTTTAACTGTGTGCCCAAAATAAATCTATCAAGAATTAGTATTGACAATGTTTTCTTTTTTTAAATGTTAGAAGAAAAAAAAAACAACTGTTTTAGTGCAAGCCAGGAATAATTAAAAGATTCAAGCAAAAAAATTGATTTCATGAGCAATTCATTATTCAACTTTTAATTTAAAATTGTTTTTGGGTGCGTTTTTTTTTTCATGAAAAATAAAATGCAATTGAGAGAAGTGCTCTGGAGAAGCTGATTAGAATGCTGCAAAGCTCATGAGATCAAAACTTACCAGCCTGTAAAATGGCGGCATAGATTTGGTAAGCAGCAAGCAACTCCCAATTTTGAAAGAGGCAGGTATTGCAAAGAAAAAATAAAATAAAATTATACCAGCTTACTTTCATCGTTCAGCTTACTTTTCTGGGCAAAATGTATGGAGAAGTCTTGAGCTAAAAAGATGAGCTTGCATCCAGGGCGATGGCTGGAGTCCTTCTTCTTGGAAAATAAAAATGGGTGAATCTGTAGGAGATAAATGAAGTACATCAGAACTTCCTGGCTTTGGATTCAGGGGTGATTGATTTTTAAACTAACAACTAAAAAACTTATAACCGTAATGTACCACTATAAAAATGAGTATCTTTGGCACATTGATATTAAGCGCATTACATGTAGAAAAACAATATTTCAATAATGTTCAAATATATCTGGTAAAGATACACAGGTAGGTGGTGATGTTAACTTTAAGCAATATTGATCAGAATTCAAGAACCCCTAAAAATTAAGTTTTTCGTATAAATCCTTTATAAAAATGTAATAGCCATCAATGGGGGTGGGGCTGAAAATTTGACAAAATGTGCATACAAGTAACGCACTTTTTAAGAATCCCAATTAGTGTCCCCCCCACAAACACCTGCACATTTTTTTCACGCCCCTGAAATTTATTTTTATTCTAATGAATACACTTTTACACCAACTATTTCAGAAAAACAAACGAAAATAGTATGTACCAAAAACATTTGCAATATTTTTTTTAAAAGAATCTCATTTAGCGTAGTTATCAGGAATTTTATTTCGTGAAATCATATTTCCTTTATCTTCCCCTTGAAAAACAGGAACAAGAATGTTTTGCTATCATCAATGAGTCTATGTGCCAAGTTTTGGCTCGATAGGTTGACAGGAAGTGGGTCAATTAGCAGTCCAAAGATTTTGCCAGCCAGCCACCCATGAACAAATTGAATAGAAAAGATTTAAAACTTAAGTCCCACAATTCACCTGCCTATTAAAATTCAGATATGTTTTTTAAAGGGCTACCTTTTGCTTTCTTCAACATTTGCCTCCAGCATATTGTAAAGCAACCTCTGTATTTACAAGTATTGTTACCTTAGTTGGAGGCCCATGATAATGGGCAAATGGAATGTCGTGAGACAGGTCAGTTATCTCAGTGCCGTCGGATTGATCAGTGGCTGACAGCTTCAGGGTCTGAAGTGAACAATTGATGAAAATGATATTAAAAATATCAACTTATTCTTAACTTTACTGTTGGACAAGTGCACTTTATTCCTGAATCAACTGCTATTGCCCGTGTTATTTCCTAATAAAATCATTGAAATATTTTTACAAAATACTCATGGCTCCTTTTGTGGAGTAAACCACAAGACATACAATCAATCTGGAGACTTTACCTCTGGATCTGCCTGACTTAAAGTTAGTAGAATGTACTTTTCTGCATAGCGAACAACCTCGGCAGTGTAGGTCTGGAATTTCAAAAGAAATATTTTGAAAAATAGTTTTTTAAAAAGTGATGATGGCAATTAAGCAACCATACTGAACATAAGCAAAGGAAGAAAAAAAGATCAACAAGAAAGAAACAATTTTTATGTATTATAAAAACAATTATAGTGGCCTACGAAGCATTTCCATGTCCACTACAATTTTTTTCAAGAGCTGCAATGAGCGGTACATTAATGTGGTGTAGCCAAGCTAGCAACATTGCAATAATGACATGCTAAAAATTAGGACATACTTTTTCTAAAGTCTTGTGAGTAAAAAATGTTTCCTGTGGAGTGAGAGCCATGAAAAGCAGCCTGTCGTGGGCGGCACGGAATATGATGGAAGAAGCCATTCCAGGAAGCAGACCCTCAATCTGTGACTCTGGGGATGTTGGAACATCCTGTAGCTATGGGAAGAAACAAAAATGAAGAAGAACAAATACAATTACTTTGGTTTATTAAAGACAAATCAAAATAATGAATCATATGGACAAAAGCCTGATTTTTTTTTTTTTTTAGCGTAAAAAAATAATATTGTTTCATTTTAAAAAATAAAGAAGAAAAAAACTTCTTCTTATATTTGAGGGGCCCATGAACATTTGGTTGATCATTCTGGCTCCTGGTTTAAATTCAGAGTTTGCCATCTCTTAGAGGGGTTGCCGTCCAAGGCTATCGAGTCCACTTATTACTGTATAAGTTCAAAAAGGGAAACAAACAACTGAATGAGAAAATGAAAAAAGTAATGAAAATGTGGATATAAAAACAAAAGCACTTACCTCTGTTGCTTTAAATACATTAGCGTTGTCCAAAACTAAAAGCTGTAAAGATCGTGACTGGGGTGAGTAACATGCAAAATGCTTTGCATCGTCCATAATTATACAGCTATGGAAGAATTGAAGAAAAATTCAAAATTATGCAAATGCTAAGCATAGCTGCTTGACAGTGATTAGCTGTCAAAATTTTTAGTTTTTCTTTTTTACTCTAACTAATAGACCTACACATTTTTTATTAGAGCTATCATTATTTTTTAGAGGTGACTGTATTGTGCATCAGTCTGAGGTAAATTATTGATTTGATAAATCCATTTTGCTACAAGCAACTGCTTCAAGCCAACACATTTTAACCAAGACAATGAACTGTAAACTTAAGGCAGTCAGTTTATCTCTAGAGCTATCCAGCTGATGGGGACACAGTGTGAACGGTTGTTATAAAATACAAAACATGACTATGAATGTTTACCTGGTGTCAATACTTATCCAACGTGCTGGGACATTTGTGTGAGTCTTACTAACTCCACCATCAGTGGTAATTGTTACCACAGTGACTCTCTGGCCAGGTGTAATTCCTACAGCTATGTAACTCCCATCTATGCGCTCCTTGACATACCATTGTACTATTGTGTCACTGAGGACAGGATGGAAAAAATTTTCAACTCTCCAGCATAAAAATTTTGAAGTCATCCTTAAATTAACTCATATGTTTAGTAATGAACTTTTCAAAAATGCTAGCCTTTGACTCTAATTTAGGCATGCAAAATAATGACCTAAAAGAAAAGAGATGCAAGTAGCTGACTAAGCTGAAAAAGAAAAAAATAGTTTAATCTGGCACAGTATTCAATTGTAGTATAGGTGGATAAAATTAGCAGATCATTCAACTGTCGGATAAAATTAGCAGATCATTCAACTATTGGATAAAATTAGCAGATCATTCAGCTGTTAAGCTTTGACTCTAATTTAGGCATGCAAAATAATGACCTAAAAGAAAAGAGATGCAAGTAGCTGACTAAGCTGAAAAATAAAAAAAATATGGAATCTGGCACAGTATTCAATTGTGGTATAGGTGGATAAAATTAGCAGATCATTCAACTGTCGGATAAAATTAGCAGATCATTCAACTATTGGATAAAATTAGCAGATCATTCAACTAATAGGTAGCTAGCTAAAATTACCAAAGCATTCAACTGCAGAGCAGCTGGCTAAATTTGAAATATTGGCCAAGTGAAGCGAGCCTGGTAAATACCCATACCAAACATGCCCAACTGATAAGTTGAAAGAACACAAAAGTTTAACATTGGAAGACAGAGCTGCTGCGGGGATGAAAACAATATTTACAGGTGTACATACCTATGAGGCATCTCAGCTTTCCATTCCTCCATGCCATCCGACATCCTTAGAGAGTAAACGGTCCCAGAAGTAGCTACTATCAGTTGTTCTTATTGTCACAGAAATAAAAACAAAATATTATGCCATATTTTGACCTCATTTTTTTTTTAAAATGTTAAGTTCTTCATTCTAATAGCCATTTGAAAAGGGGATAAATATTTATTTTATACATCAAAATACATAAGCCTGTAAAGACAGTTTTATTAACAATACAAACAAACGAGTGCTTATGTCAGGGATAATTTAAAACAATGTTTATAAACGCTCACCTTTATTATTTTTACTGACAAAGAAACCAGAAGCCCTGTAGAAATAACAGAAATATACTGACTTGGTGAAAAATATTTTTGTTTTACAGTGGTATTTCAACTTCTGTTTTTTTTTCCTATGTGCCATTAGAATAACATGACCGCCATCATTCTAAAATCTATTTCATAAAATTTCAAGCAACGTGTTTTGGTTTCTCTTCAATGAATATCTTCAAATAATTCTCCTAAATTGTAGCAACTTTGGCTGTTACCATTTCCCTTTTGAAGCCCGACCTTGAGTGTACCCAGCAACACAACAAAGCAATCCCTCCCTTTCCTGCTGTCACCCACCCTCATAGTTTAAATACAATTAAAATGAATATCACTATGCAACAGTTACTCAAGCCTCAGCACATAAAATAAAATGGTGGGCAGAGAACGCTTTGCTAGCTGTGCCATAAACCTCTCCTCACACACCCAGAAAAACCACCTCCTACTCGCACCCTCTTTACCACATTATGTGTTACTTGAAAGTTCTCCCGCTGCATGTTTACGAAATCAAATACTATAATCGCTCTTTAAGTGATATTGCCACTGAAATTGTACATTAGGATATGTGGTGTCAGTGGGCCGTCGAGCTAGTACCATGCTCTTTATGCCCTCCCTTATGTAAAACAACCCCCCCCCAGCCTAAGTATTGGGCTGTGAAGAAGCATGTTGGAGATCTCCCTGTGCCAAGTCTGCCCCCACCAGCACTCACTCGATTTGGGTACCAATGGAGGCCTCCCCTCCCCAGCCCAAGGACATCCAGTGGGCCGGAGACGCTGCTCTCATAATTTTTATGATTTGTGATGGCTGATTTTTGCGCTTGATAAATATTTTACTCTTTTTAAGTTTAAATTATTCCTGTTAATTTTTTTTTTTAAAGAATAAATACATATATGCTGAAAATGAATATGGATAATGTGATCAAAACACAGTTCCATTTATTTAGATTAATAGAAGAATCTTATAATATCTTTTATCTTAACCCTCGAGCTGTGGTCGGCCGATTTCTTTAGCCAATATTCTCGTTCTGTACTGTGGCGACCGAAGAAATCGGCCGATAAAAAAAACACTCCGATAGCAACTTCCAGTCCAATATTTAACCGGAATCATAGCCACTTCCTTTTATTAATAATTAAATCAACTACCGGATCAAGCTGTTTCTTGATAACTTAACAATAAGTACTTTTTAATCTGAGTTTTATTTCGCTGTTTTTTTTTAAAGCAAAAATGGATGAAGCTTTGGCTGGGCCTTCAGTGCAAGAACTAATATAAATATTTTTGAAAGCTTTTTAGGAGAGGTTATAAGTGATACTGATAATGATTTTAACATTCCCCATGACATCTCACTTAAGATTCTTCTTCTCATGAATCTGATACTATTCTTAGTGATACTGAAGTAGGCCTACTGTTAAACTTCGAGCCAGGCCCTGAGGTTGGGCAAGGACTGGCTGAATTTTAGTCACAGAAGCTACAGATTATAGATCAGAACTAATAAATTTTATAGTTAAACAACCCAAATCAGTTCCAGAGTTCCCTTTCAACTTTTTACTAGTCAATAATAACTATTTTACCTGAGATTTTTTATTTTGTACTTGGTTTTAGCAGTGGTCCCAGATTCTTATATAAATGACATAAAATTACTAAAATTGCTTTCAGAGTTTTAATTGTAATCAAAACCTTAGCAAACTATACATTTTCTAAAAGATAAATGAATTGGCTACAACATTTAGATTTGTGTTTTAAGTGTATCTATAAAAATTAATGATGTTATGATCACTTGAAAGCAAGAAATTTTGTTGATTTTTTTTTCTTGAGCACTCCAAGGTCAAGGACACTGAGCAAAATTTTTTTTACAGTTGAGCAATATAGCCAATTTTATCCCCACCCATTTACCTTTCTAAAAATATATACTTATTGGGGTCTTGTATCAATATTTCTATGTCATTTATTGCAATTTCAAAAGGCACTCAAAAAGGTCTGAAAAGTTCCCACACACTACAGAATGATGCATGCCACAGTTCGAGGGTTAATTTGCCCTCTTCCCACCCTGGAAACATATATTTATAATAGTCTTTAAAATGGATTTTTAAAAAGGGCCTTTAAAAATAATCTAATCAACTGAAACAAACAAAGCTGCATGACCAGTAAGTGATTTTTTTTTTACTGAGTGTAAGAGAGTGTAAATAAGATAACAGTTTATCTTCATTAAATAAATTTTTTGGTCTTAATTGAAAAAACTATTTCTCCAAAAACATGTTTTTGAGTATTTTTAAAGATCATAAAACTCACCTGCTGTTAATATCATCAGACAAACTTTTTTCCCACAGCAGACTACCTGAGAGTGTTTGCCAGCTTCTTACAAACAGCCCACCAGCATGGATGCTCACAAGATCTTTAAAAATATGTTATAAATAAATTTTATAAAGAAAATGTTGTAATTGTTGCTTACTAATTAATACCAAAAAATTTGTAGACTTCAAGAAGTCACAATGAATCAATATTTTACAGCTAGAATAAACAGAATATAGCATAGTGAAATTTTTCAGAATATAAACAAAGACACATTTCTATGTCACTAGATAAAGCAATGGAAATCCTGCTTATTCCCTTATGTGATTTTTTTGTTTAGTTCCTGTTCATATGTGTCTTGGGTTTTGTTGTGGCACCAAGTGCACAAATTTTAACACCTTATGCAAGTCTTAAGTTAAATTGTTTAAGGTAAATGAATGACAAATGTACAAATATTCAACATTTTGTTTGTTTTATTCTTTAAACAATTGTAATATTTGAACAAAGTTTATATTCCTCAAAGTTTTTCATACAATACATCTATTCAAAAGATCTAGTACACAAAATCATTGCAAATGAAGATTCAGTTACTTACTAGTTCCTTGATACAGAAAAGCATCAATTCTGCCTCTAACGGTAGGTTCAAAGATTCGCCGCCATGCTAGTAAGTAAAGAACAGTACAATATTATGACTAGGGTTTCTCTCTTTGGATCCAGCTTGACTTTTAGTTAACATAGAGGTGATGTGTATATATATTAATAAAATTGTCTTGGTTAAAATATTTTTAATTCAAAACAGCTGAAGTTGGTACATGGCTAAGTTTTTTGTTTTATTTCTTTCCTTTGCCTTACTTTAAACAAATGTCACATACAAAATTAACATACATAAAATGCAAAAGATGTACATTGTCATATTCTTTATGATTTTTTAAATACTTGGATTAAACCTTAAATTAAGTGCTGTATAAAAAAAATCCTTCCACTTCCAGTCATTCCTAGCTTCAAAAACTGCATATCATTATTTATTAATAACATTTAAAGACACAATGTTGCGTACGGCTTTATTAACCATTGGTACATGAACCTAAATATGCAGGGATGGACTAAGCAAAAATAATTTAGAAGCCAGCTGCATTTGCCCTAGAGCAGGGGTCGGGAACCTATGGCTCGGGAGCCAGATGTGGCTCTATTGATGGCTGCATCTGGCTCGCAGACAAATGTTCGATTATAAAAAAAAGTCGCATTAATGGTAAGAAATACTTATTATTGATTAGCAACAGCATAACAATGTTATTAAAAAGAATTCAGAGACATAATTATTGCATGTTAAGTGTTGAAATTACACAAAATGCACACATTTACTTGAATTTTTAGTTTTAAACATAATGTATGGCTCTCAAAGAATTACTTTTCAAAATATGTGGTGTCCATGGCTCTCTCAGACAAAAAGGTTCCCGACCCCTACCCTAGAGCTAACATTTGTTTTTCAGCTGAGGAAAGCATGAAAATTCAATCTCAAAATCAGACATTTTCATGTATCATGGCAAACAGACACCCTGTATTTGTCTACCCCTGTAATTATGATTGAATAAAAGAATAAAATCTTTCATACCAATAGTTCCATCATGTGCATGCAACGAGGCAATGACATTTCTCTCAGATGCTATAAAGGCTTTTTTCCCAGATTGAGATGGAGAGTGATCCCAATAAAAATATTTAACTTTTCCAACATAATCTTGCTTCCTGTAAAAACAACAAATAATCAAAAGTATTATGATATATATATATATATACCCTACTTTGCTAACACAAAATGCTAAACATAAATTGGTGGGAAAAGTTCTGAAAAATAAGATCATATTGGAAAAGGTATAGATGGGAAAATGTCAGAGTGGAGCAGGAAATATACCAACAATATAATTTCAGGTGTAAAATAAATATTCAAAACTACAAAAAAAAAGAAATTTAAATGCAATGTTGTCCTACACAGAAACAAAATGTCCTTCATATTAACTACCGGTACTGAAAAACATTAATGCAGACCTGTTTACCCTCGAACTCCTAAAATCGTACAATATTGTCTCAAAAACATAAAACAGTATCAATCTTAATAGTAAATAAATAACATACAGAATGTTTAATGTATACAATAACTATAGGCATCGCGTGTCTAGTGGTATCCAGATATGCTGGCATAAAAAAGGTAACTTCAAAAAGTAGATATCGCAATCTGATAACTACCACAAACTGTAAATGGGTGAAAGGAAGATAGGGTATTAAAAATTATACAGCAGTTTTCTACGTTCTAAAAATAGATTTCAAAGGCGCTCTCAGTCTCAGGTCATATTAAAATTACCCTTATTATTAAAATACTGTTTAGGGATAACTTATTTTGAGCTTTCAACTTTGGCACATGACTAATTAATTAACGCTTTCCCTGACCCATGGTTAAGTAGTTTTTGCACATGGCAAACTCTTATGAATGTAAACCTCAAATTAAATATTTGTTTAAATTACTTCTAGGTTCATTTAAAATACAAGTTATCAAATATCTTGATGTAAATAGTGATAATAGTTAACTATTTCCTACGTAACGGAGGGGACGTGGCCCACACCATGTCAAAATTAGGCTGAGCGGCCTTATGGTAATGCAGGTTACTTTGACAAGCGTAGCAAACAGTGGACATGACCTACATCAAGGAGAATCGGCACACATATATATCAATATATAATGCTTTTCAGAACTTAATATGAAAGATGTAATCTTTATATTTCTTCAAAAATTTTTGAGGGAAAGATGCCTTATATACACCTATGAAAACCAAGGTCGATCAACCAAGGTAAACAATACGTTTGAATGTAGGTCAAGATATCCCTTATTGTGAACATGTGGAAGGATACCACAATTTTATGACAAAACAGTCCTTTTATTAATGAAAAAGCACCGAAAAAAGAGTCGACTTAGTTTAAACTTTCAACTTTGGCACATGAATAATTAATTAAAGCTTTCCCTGACCAATGGTTTAATAGTTTTTGCACACGGCAAACTCTTATGAATGAAACTCTGAGGTAGTACTACGATACAGCCATTATGCAAGTGGCTGTGAATGGTTGCCAATGACAACGTGTTGCACACGGTAAATTCTGATCATTTATAATATGGACTCTACGGGGTTGTTAAAGCTCAAATTAAAATATTCCAGTTTAAATGTCTTCAAAATGCATTCTGAAACACAAGTTATCAAATATTTTGAAGTAAATAGTGGTAATAAATTAATATTTCCTAAGTATCGTCAACTTCCGCCATTAAAAAGGGGGCGTGGCCCACCCCATGGCGAAATTAGGTTGAGCAAACTGCATGACCTGCTGCGAATGCGTAGAAACATGGCGTCTCTCATAAGACACATATCGCTGTGAAAATTGGCATACTTGTAGATCAATACATTCCCCAGATGCAAACAAAATTTGGTAGTGACAAATCTTTTACTTCGACTTAATTTGAATGATGAAAGTTGCCTTATATTTACCAAGGATTTTCTCAAAGCTGACTGATTGTAAATGAAAAAGAAATTGATTAAAATGTAGGCAAGATGTCTACCTAATTATAAGGCCAAAAACGGAACTCAATATATATCGAAAGTACTAATTGAACAATAAATGGACACACAAATCGAAAAATTAAAAACTTGGATTTTTCGGCGCTGATTTCTATTTCTGATACACAAAAAGTAGTAGTCTCCCTTGTTTCATCGAAGTATCTAGTAGGGGTGTGCCGGACCCCGGTCCGGAATCCTGTTCCGCCGGATTTTGCACTATCCGGTGAAATCCGGTTCCGCCGGATTTACATGTATCCGGAACAACCGGATTCCGGAATCCGGAATATACCGGATTTCGGAATTTGCCAGATTTTGTGACTCACCGGATCATAATCTGAAATAAAAGTAATTCTCTTTCCCGAATTCCACACGATCACGATACATTAATCGATTGTTTCGAGCGTTGAGCTTGTTTAATGTTTAATATTCCGTACATACCAGAGGCTAGAGTCAGCACCGCTAATAGTGGCCAATAGTGTAGGGACTTTGATAAGAAAATTTAAACTTTTTGTAAAAATAAACCAATGGCATAGTTGAAAAGATGTAATTTTTTAAAGAATTATAACACCAAAATCATATTTTTAGCTGTTGTAGTTTTAAAGTTATGAATTTTTAAAGTACGACTTGGTTTGTCATTTTTTAACATGGACTGCATCTCCACATTCTGTGATCTCATTCCACCAATCCCGTCATGCGCAATGACTATATAGTTTATATAAGGCAACGCATTCCCTGCCTTATCACTAAAATACTGTTTAGACTTAGTTTAAACTTTCAACTTTGGCACATGAATAATTAATTAAAGCTTTCCCTGACCAATGGTTTAATAGTTTTTGCACACGGCAAACTCTTATGAATGAAACTCTGAGGTAGTACTACGATACAGTTATGCAAGTGGCTGTGAATGGTTGCCAATGACAACGTGTTGCACACGGTAAATTCTGATCATTTATAATATGGATTCTACCGGGTTGTTAAAGCTCAAATTAAAACATTCCAGTTTAAATGTCTTTAAATGCATTCTGAAACACAAGTTATCAATTATTTTGATGTAAATAGTGATAATAAATTAATATTTCCTAAGTATCGTCAACTTCCGCCATTAAAAAGGGGGGCGTGGCCAACCCCATGGCGAAATTAGGTTGAGCGAGCTGCATAACCTGCTGCGAACGCGTAGAAACATGGCGTCTCTCGTAAGACACTTATCCAAATGGAACGGAACTCAAATATATATCGAAAGTACTAATTTAATAATAAATAGACACACACATCGGAAAATTAAAAACTCGGATTTTTTGCCGCCGATTGCGAATTCCCATACACAAAAAGTAGTAGTCCACCTTGACTTACCGAAGTATCTACCAATAGTACCAAAATCCGGAATCCGGGAGAAACCGGAATCCGGATCCGGCGGATTTCGCATAAGAAAATCCGGATCCGGATCCGGTTGGAAAAAACGGATCCGGCACACCCCTAGTATCTAGCCATAGAAGTAAGTAAAAAATACCAAATGAACTCACACTTTAAGAATTCGTAGCTCAAATAGTACTTAAGCTAAAAAGTTGATTCTGGTTTCATTTTTTATTTGGAATTTGCTCTAACTAACAGTAACACTAAGTGACAAGTGTATTATTTAACAAATTATTTCAATTTTTTTTAAATTTAAATTAAATAACCTACCTTGACTTTAATTAATATTATACTATTAATAAATGAATACATCTTAATTTTAAAAACTGCATCCCAATATAAAATACTAACCAATCGAATAATCCTGCTTGATCCTCGTAAAGCCCAAACGAGCAACAAACCGTGATATAAATTAAAACTAGAAAAGCCGCAACAGTTTTACTGGTGTTCGCCATGTTGATTTTCTAGATTGGTGCAACTTTTTAATTAATATTTTAAAAATCAATTCAAATTTTAAGAAACAATTAGAGCAATTAGATTAAAACGTGCAAAGGACAGAACATTTTTAGATTTAATGTGTTTTAAAATATTTTTTCAAATGAGATTTGTTTTAAAAAAATTAAAGGTCTCTTTAAAGATTCCAATGGGCAGCGAAACTAAGACTAACGGTAACAAACTTGAGTTCTATAGGCTATAGGGACAGTGTCTAAGTTAAGCAGAAAATAAGACATCGAGAAATGTTTGCTCCCCTCTAATTCTAACTCTGTCCTTGGTACTACTAAATCTGACTGTTCAAATTAGTCAGAAGAGAAATTTAAACAAAGTAACCAATTGCTACTACGCCTATATCCATTATCTTACAATGTATATTTTAACCATTTAAATGGATCATTGTCTTATAAAATTCTTTCGTTCTTGTTATTAATTATTATTCATGATATTTTGGGGTGGGGTAGGCGGGTAGGATTTAAAACATTTTGAAATAATTAATTGGGGGTTTCCTTGAAATTTTGATGGGATGGTAAAAATAGCCTTTAAATATCAGATATAATTTATTTACGCCCATTCAGGCCCATTCATTAACCCCAAAAATACCTTTTTTTAAAAAAAAACCGTTTTTTCTATTCAATTTCAATATATCAATATACTTGTATATTATATCAAGAATCAAGAATAATTCATCCATGTAAAACGGCACTCAGTTGATATCGTATAATTTAAAATAAGTAGATTTATTTATTTTTTAATTTTATCTCGGAACATGGTGAAAGTATATCTCATATGTCGGTAAAGGATGTCGGAAAAACAAAATGGATTCCCTCAGGCGGCAATATGTTATTTAGCATGTGTGAGTTTACCATAGACTACAACAAACAGTTGCATTTCTTTTCAAAAATAAGAAAATATATACAAATTAGCACAACTAACTTGTAAAAGTGCACGTAAACTTGCAATTCATTTAAATTAGGGAATAAACTCAAAAAATGCATTCATTATTAAATAGTAAATGGGCCTTAAAAAATTTAAAAGTTTGAAACATGGTTGACTAAAAAAAATGATTTTAATGAAAATGATGTGATTAAGATCGTCTTGATTTGATTGTATTCACAAATTAGAGCAGCAATTAGGCCATCCTTACTGGCCAAACAATGATCAACAGATTTACTTATTTGGATGACCATTCATGTCAGAGGCGTAGCGAGGGTGTTTAACGCCCGGGGACAAGATTCGCACCCAGGGACAAGATCCATTTTAAAGCGTCCCTTTTTTCTTTTTTTCAACTCTCAAACCCATTATTTTTACCAATAATATAATATCAAAGCACATTTTGGCGCCCCTAACTAGCTTGCTCCCGGGGACATCTGTCCCGCACCCAGCTTAACAAAACCAATCGCTCATTACTTTAAAACAAATGCATCTTGACATCCATAACAATTATATCCCTCATAACAACAACAAAAATATCGCACCCAGGGAAATGCGTCATAGCGCATTCATGGCTGAGTCAAAGTGGTGCAAAATAAAGAAAAGTTCCATCAGTGCTTACGGATTAAAATTATCAACCCAGACACATAACATAACTACGCGATCTTACAGTGACAGTAATAATTATTAAGATCAAATAGCTTTGGCCCAATGCGTTTTTACTGGATGTAGTATGGACTGCGCCACCTCATTTTGTACCCATATGCCATGGCCATATTCTGTTATTTTCATTTTGACATACTGGTGCTACTTTATTACATAATGAATTTAAAATATAAAAAAAATTATTTGCTAAAATACTTGTTAATTGATGATATTGTTTTAAAATATATAAAAATGTGCATTTATATAATTAAATTGGAATCATGTAACATAATTTAAAATAGTCTACTCATTAAAAAATTAAAGTGCAGAGAGAGGTCAAGTGAGTTTAGACTGCAATGCTTCCTTCCTCACACATGGGCCTAAGCTGAATAGCGGCTTTGGCTTTGGTAAAGAAATTTTTAAACTTATAAAACTATACAGCTCTATTATTAGCTTAAAGAAAATTTCAATTTAAAAAACGAAACCAACAAAGTAGAAACATCAACAAGCTTCAGTAGTTTTTGAGCCATGAATTTTAAAAAATGTAAGTTCATTTGTCCTTTTTTACTATGGACTACATGCTCACTCACCCCCAATTCTTTTGTTTTGATTTTTTGTGCTGTTAGTTTAATACCCAATAAATTTAAAATTGCTTTTTTTAATATATTGATGTTTTTGGATTTAAAATATATAAAAATGTGTATATTATTAGGCTAAGCCGAAATAATGGGATTGAGTACATAGTCTACTCTGAAAGGTCCAGAGGCGTAATATTTGGTAAAAATATGAACTCAGAATTAAAAAAATAGAGACAGGTGCAATATTGATGGTAGTCAGCGTAGCAACTTTATTGCATCCCTTAGATATGTGGCAGGACCAGCAGACGACTTGCAGTCGCCCCCTTTCCTATTGTAGTTTAAATTTCAGGTTTTGTAACATACTCCGGACCGCAATTATAGACATTTATTAGTTCAATATTCTTTTAGATTAAGTTGTAATTTGATGACAATGGCATGTTGTCAGTGGAAACAGGAAGGGTCACATTTATTGCCCATGCACATTACCTCAATAAAAATTTAACTCTTAGAAGCCCCAATTATGCCTAGGGTTCATATTGTCCCACCCAGTCACTTAGTAAATATAAAGGATGTTTTTTATAATGTAAATGTTTTTTTTTTAATGAAATTTATTTTCAGTTGATGACTAGTAAGAGTGTGAACTTGCAGACTGTCATCATATGTTTAACTTCCTTTCATCTGTCTTGCTGAATCTGTTGCAAATAACACAATGAAACTGGAATTGAAACCTGAATGTATAAAAATATTTAAAGGTCGAGAGGTTACTGCAACACATGCAGGAGTATCTCAAGGTGCTTATCAAATCAATGAATTTAAAGTTATTTTTTACATTTTTACATTAGATTGGAAGATTGGTGGAACATGTGAAATTTTAACTTTTCAGTGTACATTATTGTGATTCATTTAAATGAAATTTACTTTTTAAACTTATGTTTGTTATGTCTTGTCAATTTAAACGTCATCACTTCATTTGATTATTCTAAATTTACTTTCAACTGTTATGTCATGAAGTGCATGATAACACTATATTTAAGCTAAACATCATATCTTAATGTAAAAAGTAAAATCTTGTACAGTAATACCTTATGCATTTTTGTTTCGGGATTAGAGAAATTTTCATTGGAACCTAATTTACATACAGGATTTTTTTTCACAGATTTACAAAATCCTCAAAATAACCCTGTGTTTATATTTAATTTTTGAAGTAAGTTTTAATGCTTTTGAGTGTAAAGTAAGTTTTTAAAAAAATGGCTAATGAAAAATCGGGGTGGGGGGGGGGGATCCCCCTCCCCCCACCCCCCCCCCCCCCCCCCCGACAGGTTCTGCAACCTAACCTAGCAAATGTTTGAGGTATTACTGTGTACAGAAATTTTCCCTTAATGATCTCTTCAACTGTATCTTGTAACATTATTGGAACATGCTTCAGTAATTTGTTATCTTTCATTTTTAGATGGCCTGATCAGCTGGATTTATAAAGAAGCTTATTTAGAAGTAACTCTGGCACAGACAAATGAAATATTAGCGTCATGGAGGTTTGGAAAAGTTTTAAAGGATACACATACTGCCATTGGATGTGTCGCAAGCCTTAAATATCAAGGTGGATACTTGTTGCTTGTTGCCACCACTAGCGGCTCTGACCAAGGATGTCTCTCCATTTTTAGCTTAGGTCTGCGAAAAGTTGTACGAAGTATTGAAATACCTCAGAAGGTAAGTAGTTGGAGAATATAATTTGCATTAATGCTCTGATATTTTTTAGTTTGTTTTGTTTAAAATATTCAAATAACACCTTCCTTGTTATAGATGAAATTAAGATTAGACATGGTTTAAATGTTATAGTTCAAATGAATCTTCTTTTGTTTTATACTCATTTAATTGTTCTTAATTATAATGCAACATAATACTGATATGAGTTTCTTAAAAATCTTTGAATATATTTCTTCTGATGGTTAGGTAACATCCCTAGAGGTATTATTTACAAACACAGCAGATGATGTTCCAACTTGGGTTTTAAGCAAGCACCTGCAATTCTTTTCTGGCCTGGCTGCTGTTGGAACAGAGGGGGGATATGTTTATCTTGTTGGTATGTGATCCATAATTTATTTACACCATTTAATTTTATCATGGTATCATCAATCATCATAATTTACTGCTTATGTACTATTGCTCTGACCCATCAATTCAATTGTAAATTTTTGATCTCTCAGATCTTTGTCTAGATGACTTAGTTTTGCAACAAACCTCAGAAACCATGCCTAAAAAGCTATTGGTCATATCCCCAAGCATTGTTGATCCTAAAGCTAAGAGGGACCAAGCCCGTTCATATGATAAACATGTAGCACTTCTACTAGATGGTGAGTTACATATATTAAAATAAATAACAATAAAATTTGAATAGATATGTAGGGTAATTTTTATTAAGTTTCTTATGGAACATTATTTTTTTAATTTAATCTTCAAACTATTGTCACTAAAATATGTCTGCATTTTGTAGGAAGAATTTGTTAACAATTTTCTTTTGAAATGCTTGACATAAAAAGTTACCCTTTAAAAATGCTCTATACTGTGCCACTCCTTGTATTTAGTACACCTCTAATTTGTATACATATGCTTGACTTATCTTTAAAATTATGCTTGCTAATAATTTGCTTCCTATACTTAGGAAAATTTGTTTGTGATGTGCTAATGCTGTTCATTATAATTAATAGTAAGTTTAGTCAATTTTTTTCTTCAGAGCAGTGTCATAGGCAAGGTCATTATTATTACAGACGACAAGATGATACAATTCAAAAAGTTTTTGATGAAGGTAATGTTTAAAAAAAAATTTAACCCACTGAAACTTAATAATTTGCTTGTTTGAGTACGATTAACCCCTTTCCTCCTTTTGGTGATTAAGTTTTTATGATTTTGATTTTATTCTCTTCATCATATAAGACACAGTCAGTATATCCTGTCTCAAGTATATTGATCAAGCCGGGACTCTTGCTATTGGCTTCAATTTTGGCTGTTTCCAGCTTTGGAAGCTGTACAACCCAGTGCTAGAGTAAGTACCTGAGCTACTTACTTATCTGTCAATGGACTTTCAAAGTATACTATTTACAAAAATTTAACATGAAGGTCATTAAAAGTTGTTTTCTAAATTTAAATTATAAACTCATAAGCACAATCTAGTTAATTGTATTAAAATTTAGAAAAAAATAAATGACTTTAATTGGGGGATTCTTATTCATTTGAGTGCTCAAAATTAGTATATTGCACATTTTAAAATTCTGAATGGTGTGTCCCAAACACTAATCGGTAGAGAAACTTTACATAAAACGTATGTTTACATGTTTATCTTTCTTCATATCTCTGTAATATATTTTTTATAAATATATATATATAGGGGACTGCGTTCAAGCTGTGTAAAGTAAATAAATAGTATAATGAGAAATTATAAGTGTTGAAAAAAGACTAGAGAATTTGTTTCTCTGTATTGTTCATCCAAATTAAATCTTACAGTTATAGCTCACGATATTCCCCTGATGGTGTACTGGTATCAGGATTTGTGGTACAGGAACCAGAGAATGATCCAAGAAACTTTGTCTATTTGTGGGTAGCTCGTGATGAGGCCTCTGAAGAGAGGTATGGCAATATTTGTTTGGAATTTTCTTTTTAAAAAATCAAATGTGAAACAAATTTTCAATGGAAGAGATTTGTAAGGCAGTGTCTACACTTTAATGTAGTTTTCTTTCTTTTAAACATCTTTAGATGTGTCAATCTACACTGGTTTTCTAGCATCTAAGTACAAATTGCAGATCCTGTTACTGTTTCTGTACTGTAACAATTTATATTTTATTTTTCAAGTGTGGCCAGTGTTTGTTTGTACCAGCTGAGTTTTGCCAAGAAAGATGTCTACGCAAACTTTGGCATGTTTTATGATGTAAGTGGTGATTTTAATAGTTGTATAACAGACTGGATTATTATTGTTTAAAGTTTTGTGTCACCCTTCAGTTTGCTGAATGCTCTCATTAAAAAATGTTATGACCTGGGAGTTTTTGACATCAGAATAGTAATTGTTTTGATCAATAGTAAGAAAAAGCAAGCATTTTGCTTAATCTGTGTAATTAAGAGCCCTGACATTTTTACTTGCTAGGAACTTGAGAGTGTATGTGCTCGTCTGGATCACAGGCTTACTTTGGATCCTTACAGCAGTGATATCAAATCAACATGGAGTAGTAGTCTTATTAATTGTTTCACAATAAGGAATCCTTTTTACATACCATCATCAACTTTGACAGAGTCCTTTGAAGAAGGTATGCTTTATTTTTTTTTTCATTCACCTAAATCTATTTCGTTTTATATAATCTATTATTTATTTAGTCCTCTATAGAGTATATGATAATCAACTGATATCTTTGTTACTAGGAATCCATTAGGGCTTGAGAGAGGAGGGGGGTGGGGTTGCATTGCTTTAATGCTCATTAAATAAATTCATTTTCATTCAGGTCAAGACTCAAGATGCTGCTCATCCCCTATCAAACAACCATTTAGACTAAAAATTTCTATCTAGAACAAATCAACTTTTCTCTATTTACTTTGAACCCATCCAAAAGAATTCCAAACTGCCTAGACATCTTTATTTTGCAAGTATTGCCATTTGTGATGATGTAGTTCTTGTTACCCATTACAGGTTTTCATGGAAATGATCTCAGCCTAAGTGTTTTTGTTTGGCGAGCTGAAGGCAAACAAGGTGGTGGAGCGTCCAAGCACTGGATGACAATATTTGACCTGAACCGGTGGTATCATGCTCAAATGCCACATTCGGTTAGGTGCCATGGGGGTTCACTTCAAGTCTGTTCATTCTGGGCTGTCTATTGCTTAGATGAAATAGTTGAACTCACTCAGTCACACACTCTTTTGGTGAGCTTACTTTCTGAACTTAAGCATGGTCTTTTAAATTCATCCACTTTCTACCCCATAAGATTTCCCATGTTATCATTACTTAACCGGTTTCAAATTAAAAAATAAAATTAAAAACATTTTTTTGTTAATTACTTTGATTGTATATTCATACATTTAAATCCATATCCCTTTGAAAAAATATAATTTCTTTCTCTGCAGTTGTTTGCAAATGATTTCTGCTAAATTAATACCTCCTGTCAATATAATTTTTTTTAAACAGAATTTGGAAGTGAGTGGGGACAGAGTTCGCAGGTTTATCAACAACTCACCATTACCCCCTGAGGAGCACAGTTTTCCATCAGCATTACAGCTCACAAGTAACTTATGAATAAATAATTTAGATTATATAATGAAGTTTTAATTTAAGTAAAGCGATTTCTAACCTAAAAATCAGCTTTAAATTACACATTTGGTACAAGTTTTTATTGTGAATTATAGTTATTAAATCTACTTTAAAATGATTGTTTGTTGGTAAGTTCAAGTTCTATTATTTCTTGTCTGTTTTTATTAGGGATGCGTGTGTGTTTTACAATTCAGTCCTTTCCTTTTAAAACAAAATTTATTTTTGTTTTTAAAAAAAAATCTTTAGGCATTAGATTTATAACAGCAGATGGCTTTATAAGTGCCAGATGTGATGGTTGGCAGGGGCAGCTGATCCGTCAGTTTGTAGAAGATGGAGTCCAGTATCTCATAGAACCAGCTGACTTCTATCACCAGTGTCTAAGGGCACGTCTACTGCCACAAAACTATGAGGATTTTAAATCTAGTGGACTTGTAAGTGCCATTTGGAAAAATCTTTAATGTTAGCCCTGAAAATAAAATTTAAAAAAATTTCGTCATGGTGCTTTTTGGAGTTTTTAACTTAAATTCTACTCCTAGTTCAAAGTTCCTTAAATTGTAGTTGAACATGATGACATTTTGTCATTATTCTAAGAATAATGGGAAATAGTGAGCATCCTTTTAATAATCTGTGGCAAAGCATTGTTAAAATTGATTCATTTGGCGTTTTTAAACATTTTCACTGTCGTGATTTTTTAATATTTTGAACCTGCCACAAAACTGTCTGGCTGGTGATGAAAAAAATTAGTCAAAGTGAATGATAATAGTTTTTTTAACTGGTTATGAATACACTACCAAGCATCTTTAAGTAAGTGCAATAAAAAAAAATTAATTCAATGCAAATTCCACTATTATTGTGCAGCATTTTTAATTTGGTTAATGAGATTAAGATACTTCAGTGTTTGATGAATTTCCGTCCGTTAAATAAAATCCTTTAATTCATTCTTATAGATAGTAACCCCTTAAGGAATTATTTTGTTCACCCTCCTTATTCCAGGATTATCAGCGTAGAGCACTCTTGAACATGGCACTTGAAAAAAACCTTACATCAACATTGATACCACAGTGCATCCAACAGTGGGGCGAGGGAGAGTTTGCTGAAAAGGGATGTACTTTAACACTGTTGCTTGATTGGGCCTGGGACAGAGTTATCAGCATAAAAAACTCATTGGACTCCGTGTGTAAGCACAATTAAATGATTTTAACACAAATTCACATGTTTTTTGCCCTTTTTGTATATGTTAAGCTTCATTATTTTCTTTGAATCTTTCGGAAAAGGATGACCCTATTAGAATTTAAATTTTTTCTAACCTTCATAAACAGTCATGGACATAACTGTTACCACCCTGCAAAATGCTTTGTATTCTATGTTTAGTTATTGCAAATATTTTTTAATGTGGGATAAGGAGCTTTCCTCTTTTGGTTAACACATTTTTATTTCTTTAATATGTATAACATAAAGTTTTGTTTCGTTGATTGAAATTGTATATTTTTTTATGATTAAATACTGTGATAATAAACTTTTTGAAATGACAATCAAGATGGTCTTTTTGTAATGCAGGTGAAGTGCTTTATGACAGGTCAGGTCACCAAATTGATGCCAGGACTGACTGGCAACTTGAATCTCTTACTGGCTCATTAGCAAGATTAAAACATATCTTCGAAGCTCTCATTACACAGTCCAGCCCCACTACCGATAGAGGCAAGTAATGTTTAAATAGATAGGGTTGTATTTAGTATCTGGGAGATAATTGCCAGTTCCTTTAATTTGAAATTAGCAAGTACATCTTTTTTATTGGACAGAAACATTCATTTTAAATATTTTATTGCAATTTTAAAATTATTTTGTAGTGTCATAAGACAAAGTATCAATCGTTTTATTTCATCAATCGATATCATTATATATGATAAAAAGTATGGTGTTATGGTGAGTTCAAAGTCGCAAAATAAAATTCTAGATAACTGCTCTAAATAAGATTCTTAAAAAATGCTGGAAGTGCATTTAGTACATAATATTTTCTTTTATTTAACGGGAATAGTCTCAATTTAAATATGATGTAATAAATCTGTGGTGTAAAAGGGGATAGGACATAAGAATATTAATACAGTTCAGGGGCGTAAAAATGGGGTTAGCACTAATTTGGAAAAGAATTAAGTGCTGTCTTGAATGCTTATTTTGTCAAGTAATTTTAGTTGATGGGACGTTCACACATTTCCTCCACATTGTTTGTTTACCAGTTACTATAGTAGCTTACTATTTTAGCTTCTTTAATTTCATAAAATAAAATGGAGGAAAATTAAATAACTATATGACTGAAATAAACCATTGAAATTTATCTAGCCTCAGAAGCACTGTGTGTTTTAGCCATGTCATCTCATTAGGCTGAAAAGTACAGTTAAAAAAAATTGCTTCTCTGTTTGATTTGGAGAATATTTAATTGTAAATAAACAAAATGAAGCATAAATGTTTTGCCAAGGTTCTAAATTTATAATGCTTACTAATTATTTGATTTCCTTTCAATAATCAGGCCAACTAGAACTAGAAATTCGCCAGGATGTAATTAACTTCTTACTGCAACATTTTGAAGTGGCTCGATGGTGTATCTCCAACAGCTTCCTTCCTGAAATGGATAGCAATAACACTGCCACCGGTGATTTATTTGCATATCCTTCTGATGATCTGAGTGAAGTGTATGACAAAAGACGTGCAGAACTGAAAAATTTTAATGGGTAAAGAAATATGTTAATTTGATCGTAGTAGGATTTTTAATGTTAGTTTCTGACCTTGTGGGTAATTAAAACTAAAGAGAGTACATGAACGCAATTCTTATAGCTACATAAATATTTAGCACTGGAGTATTTATCCATCTTTTTTCTGTGCTAATGCTTTTGTAGTGACAAATGAATATAGGTTAAGCTAGTCTGTAGGCCAAAATAGTATAGATGTAATGAGATACAATTTATATTTCAGTGTGATGGAAGGCTTTAGTCTTCTCCTGATAGATGACCTTTTAACTTGCCAGGGACAAGCCATCAAGAATGCTTGGGAAGCTCTTGGTGGGAATGGCCTATACCCTCCCCCCAGCATGCAGGTTTGTCAAGAATTAGATGCTAGATTTAAATATTCACCTATTCAGTTATTATTTTTAACCCATTTTCATGCTCAAATTTCAGTATAGACAGATATAAAATACATCTCTAATTCAGGCTATTTATCAATGTTTATTTTACCAGTTAGCACCAAATTGACATGTGATGTTTCAGTAATTAAGTAGAACTTCCTAATTTGCATTACATACAACACACCAGAACAAATCTCTGACTATAACATCATAAGTAAAGACTTCACAGCTTTCATTTAGCTTGAAACCTTAGTGTTAAAAACTACAACATGTACATCTTTGTTAGATTGCAAGATGCCTGATTCAGCAAGAGCGCTACTGCAAATCAAATAGTTTTTAGTTTGTTTTTTTAAATATAAAGAAAATATTGCACTTTTCACAGGGTATTGTGAATATGTACCTAATAGAGGATGTCAGCACAGAAGTTAAGCATGCCATCACCCTTTACCTGCTTCAAGATCTGGCAGCTATGGAAATGACTGATGCAGGAGGCACTCTGGTCAGCTTTATCAAAAGATTCATGCTGAGTCCAAGTCTGGTGCACCAGGTCCAGGGTCTGTGGTTTATAGATCATAGGGACTATGAGGTTAGTTTGTTCCTAGATCATAAAGACTATAATGGTCCATTGTTTAAAGAGAATATGAGGTTAATTTGTTGTTTGTAGATGATAGACACTGAGGTTGTTTTGTAATTTATTTATAGATAATAGTTTTGTTTTTAAAGATTTAAACGGTTGTAATATTTATGAAAATTTTATATGAAACTGAGCATAAAAAATATATCCTAATACTACATACTGATTGAATGGAAATTTATATTATATTCTTCTTTTACTTTAAAGGAAGGTGTTCGACGTCTAGTCAATCCAAATGTCCATGAAGATACTTGTGGCAGCTGGATACATGCAGCAGTGGTCAACACACTTCTTGTACAGTCGCAAGGTCTGGCAGCTACTCGCTACCTACACACTAAATGTGTGCTTGGTAGCTCCCCACAAGAGCAAAAGCTCTACATTTCAGTTTTGATCAACACACGGTAAGCTGTTAACTTAAACAGAGATGTAGATCAGTGTCACATTTTTGAGACTTATAGTGAATATGGCAATGAAAATCATATTTTCCTAAAATTTGCGTGGTATGTTCTTGGAGACACTTTTTTTTAGCTCCCCATTTCATCCAGCTCGGCCATTACTTTTTAAAATTAGTTGCCCAATCTTCCTTTCTTTACACAAAGTTTTTATTTTATTTTTAATATGTTTTCAAATCAATTGATGTGCTTCACAATTTAATTTTAATGTTATCTTCTTATTTATTTTATGAAAAAGGGCAAATTTTATATATAACTTACAAATTTCTGCAAACAGGCAGGTCAACCAAGCTCTTGAATACTTGAGGGGATGCCAAAATGAAACCAACTTTGGAAATCTAATGGAACACCTTTTGAAAGAGTGTCGGAAAAGTAAGCTGCTTTTATCTTAGGATAAATGACATTCTTGAAAGGTAAAATCTCTTAGCGAACATAATACAATAAATTGACATGCATCCGAAGGAATTTTACTTCATGTCTGCAGTTCTGAAAACATTTGTATTTTGTTACTTACACTTACATACATTGTTAAAATTAACATATGTATGAATTTTTAGAGGTTAATTTAAAAGTTTTTGATATCTTCAGATAAATTGCTTGGCCACCTTCTGCAGTTGAACCTTAACGAACATGAGGAAACTTATCTTGAACAATTTCTACGTAGCCGGGTAGAGCCACATTCTCTGGAGCCATTGCTAATGTATTACCTCCACCGCTCTCGATTTCTCCAAGCTTTCAAGCTAAATGAAGATATGAAAAGAATGGACAAGGTAGTGTGACATTGTAATGAGAAAATTCTTCTAGGTGTTAAGACGACATTTGATAATAGCTGAAGCAAAGGGAATGTGCTAATCTGCTTTGGACTGAGGTTTAATGTTTAGGAATTAACATAAGTCTTTGAGACAGCCACTTTTCTCTCTCTTGACTCGAGATGTATATAAATAACAGGTTGAAATAACTATTTAATAGTAACCACTGAGTAAATTTTTTTAGTTGACATAATTGAAATTTTGTTTATAGTGAGTGATGTTGATCCTAATAATTTATATTAGTCTATGCACTTGTCCTACTAGATACTGGTTTAACCCAATGCATTCATTTTTTTAAAAATGACATATGTACAGATGGAGACAAGCCGTGCTGCTCAAGAACAAGCATCGGTGAGAAACAGACTGATGGATGCCTACTTGAGGGCAATGCCTGATGTGACCAGAAAACTGCTCATGGAGAAAAATAAAGGAACCAGCATTGGAGCTGCTAAAAAAATTCAAAGTAGGTTTTGTGAAATGGGATTGAAGGGGAAAGAAAGAGAAAGTTTACCTCACTCCCAATCCTCTCAATAAGCTACATTATTTTAAACACTGTTATGGATTTTACTTAATATCTAGAAATAACTATATAATATTAAATTAAACAAATTTTATTTCTCACATGTTTTTCTAAATATTTTACTGAAAACTTTGACCCAAAAAAAAAAACAGTGAAATAAATTAATTTTAAGCTTAGATATGAATTGGAATTTGTTTCTCTGACATGTTACCATTTATTTACATTCTTGTGTATCTTTCTACAGTTGAAAGACCAAAACCTCTTTCCACCATGGTACGTAACACTGACCAAACAGCAATGTCACGGTCACAGTTTGTCTTGGCTGTGATGGAAAAAGTGAAAGAAGCTAAAGAGATGTATGACTCTACAGAAAAATCTCAAGAAGATGAGGAACTTAACTTGTCAGCTGAACAGTATGTAGAAATTGTACTGAGATAACCTTAGGAGTGTCAGCCTTAAGCTTTAAATTGCTTAATAACTCAAAATATTTGTGATAGTTCAGTTAGTGTCTCAATTACAGCTACAGAAAGTAATGAAATAATATATACAGTAAATTCATTGTGTAATAAGTAAGAGTCTTAGCTAAAATACTTACAAGAATATATTTAATAATAATTAATAACTCCCAATTATTAGTCAGAATGTCAATATTTACTTGTTATTTTATAATGCACACAGAAATCTTCAGAGAATACCATTTTATTTCTATCTAGCAGAGATAAGACACTGGTAGAACAGGAAATCCCTTTCCTTGACACACCTAGATCCTCCAGGCCTAATTCTGTTTTACGGTTAGTTCAAAATATTTTCTTTGACATTTTAGATTCTTTCCTCTTAGTTTTTTTTTTTTACTATATTTTCAATCACTCTGTTTCTTTTCTTCTTTGCTTCATTGTTGTAAGGGACTTGAGCTCACACTTTTTTCTATCTTTCTTATTTAAAAGGGAGGATACATGTTACGTAAATTTAGTTTTTAAATTCATGCAGTTTTTTTAAGACGGCAGCATTAGCAGAATCGTCCAAATGTATATTATTTCCTTTAACTGAGTCATTCATAACTATTTTTTTACCTACATATATTGTTAGTCTTTAATGATAATTCGTCTCTTTTCTTTTTTTTTTTTTTAGCTTCCCCAATAATTAACATTCTTAATTGCTCTAGACAAAAGTTGCCAAATAATTAATAGACTTAAATATCCTTTTAAATAATTTGATAGAGCTCAACTTCACTTATGTGCCGAGTAAATATTATATACATAGTTAAAATTGTCAAAACCTGTTTGTGACAATTTACAAACCTCATTCAATGTAAGATGTGTTTATGTATAGTGCAATTACCTTTAGATTAACTAAACTAAGCCATCTGTTTTCCTCAGACCATCTAAACTCATCGAAAATTTCTTCAGATTAATTAAACTAAGCCATCTGTTTTTCCTCAGACCATCTAAAATCATTGCAAATATTTATGTATTAACTAAACTAAGCCATCTGTTCTTCCTCAGACCATCTAAAATCATTGCAAATATTTATGTATTAACTAAACTAAGCCATCTGTTCCTCCTCAGACCATCTAAAATCATTTGTCCTGATCTCAAACAGTCTCCTGTACCAACAAATAGACTGTCTGTGATGAAACATAAAACGTCGCTGTATGAGAATGAAACTATCAATGGAAATGCGTAAGCACATTATACATTTTTTAACCCTCCCTTTTACAATTAAATTTAAGTATACATGAATAAGCAAGAATTAAAATTGCTGCGTATTCAAATTTGTTTGGTTGCTGCGCACATCAAGGTAAGCTGGAGAAGTATCCGAAAGCCCATGTCAAAGCATTAAATAAAACTAGAGAGAGAGAGAAAGTTAGTAGATACCTTACTTGGAGGGGTTATGAATACATGTTAAGTTCTATAAATCTTGTAAGGGTAAAATTATAACTGATCAATAGATAGACGTTAATGTTATTGGGAAAGAAAAACTAAACAAATTATTCACATCATACTTTCTTTTTATTCTTCTTTAAATTTCAGTAGCCTCAGGCAGCTGACTATTGAGTGTCTTCAAGTTCTCCAGACGCCAACGAGGACCCAGGCCAAAAAAAATCTTAGCCCAAGGCTTTCTAGTCTTCATATCAAAACTCCTCAGTCAATTTTAAAAGTTTTGAATCTTAAGAAGCCAGGGTCTCGAGGTTTGTTGTGTTGGTTTTTTTTTTTAGTAAATAGCTAGTCTCTCATCAAAACATGATCGCGAAGGTGAAAATTCAATATTAAAATTTCCTCCATTCACTCTTGATTCAGTAAAACTGTCCTATTTTAGAACTTGAAAAGTCTCTGTAAAAAAATGTACATAGTAGTTTTAATAACTAACAATTGGTAAACCATTGTTAAATCTGTACATAAATTTTCTAACAGATCTGCAGACAACAAGGAGATTATCAGGCTCTTCTAAACTTGGTGTCTCCAAGTCAGACACATCTATAGCTGTGAGTCCAACTGTTGATGGGAAAAGGACAGATTCTATAACAGCCCCAACAATGCCGAAACGTTTGCGATTTGTGGGTTTGTCACCCTCACCCACACCTTCCCCAAGTATGGTTGGACCAGACTGGCCTCAGACATCTTTTACTGAAGAGCAAATGCAGGTAACAGAAATTAACAAAAATTCAATTACCTAATTTCAATATCACAAAAATTTTGCTGTTAAATTATCCATTTTATTCTTAATTAAGTATATGCATTGTACCTTTTAAATAAATACATATTTCCCCATAAATCATCTTTTTCTAAAGTTAGTATGTTTTCCTTCCTACACAAAAGGTTTTACGAGAGTCATCTGTAACACCACCCAATGTAAGAGACACCTCTGTTACACCACCACTACCAATGGAAGAGGAAAGTTTAAGAGAAGAAATAAGTAACAAAAGCTCTGGCAACGAGGAACTCATTAACGGTCCACCACCATTATGTGAGTATATGTCTGGCATTCATTTAACATATTTACATATTAATTTTAAGTATTAAATTTAGGTGTAATGGTAACACAACAGCTTGCGCAAATGACTCCCATGTAGATGATTGCTCAAATAGATGCGGGATCGCCTCCGTCTCAGAGCGAAAAAGCAGCATTGCTCTGTGTGAGTCTTGGGTAAATTAGGAAAACTTCTTACACAAACACAGGCTGAATAGATTTGATGAATCATAAAGGAAGATCTTGGAAAAAAAGAAATATCTGTTAAAACTAGGATTAAACCTTTAAGCTAATTGGCTAATGAGTGATTAATTATCCTGGTTACTTAGGCAGATTCTGCTGCAATTATTTATGATTTAAATATGTATTATTCTGCAAATTTGATACTGCACCAATTATTTATGATGTAATTATGTAGAATATTTTTTTTTTTTTTAATTTGTCCATCTCCAAGAGAGTGCTTAATCTTGCTTGAGATTCTCTTGCAAAACTACAAACCCTTGGGGAGATGTTATTGAGAATCTACTGTTGCTCATGCAGTGGGACACCACACCATTCCCCCCCCCCCCCCCCCCCCCCCCTCGACCCCCTATCCCTAAAGCTGATGGACTGGAGGGAATTTGAAATGGTCAAAAAAGCTTTCATTGAGTTCAATATCAGCCTATTTGACTGCTCATAAATCAGGGGAGGACCAGTAAAAAAATTTAAGAAGGAAAGTCAGCAGCAACCTAATTTTTATGTTGGAAGCAATGGAAAAACATTTCTGGTCAAAAGCATGGTAACCAAGCTCTGTGGAACCTGCTGATGAACTTTCTGGTGGCAGACTTAATGGTCTAAAAGATAAAATGTATCCACAATAAATTAATTCACACAAAGTGCAGGTTGGCACCTTTTGTGTTTAAAACATGTTTGTATATTTTAAAACTATCTAGCTCGGGCCCCTGACAGGTGACATGGTTTCTCCGCCTCCTTTCTCCTCCACCACTTTTTTTTTTTTTAGGTGTGGGCCTACAAAGTGGAGAAAATTGTATTTATTTTTTTATTTTGTGATGTGCAGTTATGTTTTTTGTAAAAAAAATAGTTTATATTTGTAAGGTTTTTAGTTGTTGTTTTTTTTATTGTTCATCTTTTTTATATAGCTGGTGATGAATCAGTTGAAATGGCAGTAGAGGAATATGGCAAAGAGAAATATGAATCACTTGTTGAACGAAATGAAAAGGCTGATTCTCCTATTGCAGAGGATCTAAATGGAAGGTGATACAATTAATTTGTGTATAAGACATAAATAATAAGTCATTGACTTTATGACATTGCTATCTTCACATCTTATTTGGGAGGAATGCAGATCATATGGTTATAAAAGAGATATTTGGAATATTTAGACTGTGCTAGATGAGTTAAATATTCCAACTTATGTTACATCCCCAAGAGCAGAAGTAAGCCTTTGATGTAACAGAAATGTGTATTTTTGTCAATTTATTGCTACATCACAAAAATTTCATGGTTTTATTTTTCCTCAATCTAGTTATGCTGATAAAATCCATGATTTAATTCGCCCTGATCTTCAATCGCCATGGAAACAAGGCCAGCTTGATCAGTCCCAAATGGTGGTAGATGATGAGATCACGTTTAACATAATTCATCATGAGGCTACAGGTAACTCTTAACACATATTGAGAAAAGTGCCTCTCCTCAAATTACTAATGATATCGTAATAGATACAAAGCTTTTGGTGAACCAAGTTGTAGCCTTTCACTAGCTGTTAAACCTATAACAGGGAGTTGAAATTTCCTTCCTCATTGTTAAAACTATTGCTGATGATTCAGAAACTGTCAACTAAACACTAAATTTTTCATTCTATAGACAAGAATGTTAATCTTATTGTTAGTCTTATCCAAGAGTCGAGTTCCTAATATTAACTGCGGTTAATTTAAGACGAAGCCTTAGGTAAACCAAGTTCTTGCCTTTCTCTAGTTATTAAACCTTTAACAGGGAATTGAAATCTCCTTCCTATTTGTCAAACTTATTGCTAATGATGCAAAAACTGCCATCATCTAAACACTAAATTTTCCATTCCATATAAACAACATTGTTAATCTTATCCAAGAGCCGAGTTCCTAATATTAAATCCAGTAATTTAAGGCTAGAAGTTGTTAAATATCATAATATAAATCACGTCCTGCTATCAAAACTAATCAGGAAAATAGATTATGATAACATTTAATCAATTATTATTTTTTTATCTGCACAGAACAAATCCCAATTAAACCATCAATGACATCATCACCGCTAGAACAAGCCTACCATACAACTAGCTTGGAATTTCTACAAACATCAGCTTTGGCTAATGAGAATAGAGTACTAAATATTGTAAGTAGAAAAAAATTTTAAAGATCCATTTTAAATAAAATCTAAATTTTCAGGTTTCTGAGCCAAGAATAGCAAATGTCCATATGATATTTATAAATCATGACAGCCAGCTTATTATAAATAAATTTTATTTATCTGTTAATAAAACTTGTCTCATTTTTATTAATCCTATTTTAATCTTGTTTCCAGGCTACATTTTCACAAAGCTCCATAGAACACACAAGAATGACCAGCCTTGGAGGCCAGCAAGCACACTCAAGTACTGAAGAGCTTACTGTTAATATAACAACGAGCCATTCTTCCAGCACAAGTGTGGGACACCTAACACACAATGTGTCACCTGTTAAACTCTCAAGTCAGAGGTCATCCAAACAACTGATGATTGCCACAGAAGTACCAGCAGTCAATGTGGAAGGGAACTCAGCAGGAAGCGATTCTCCACCAGCCACACCACCTCTCAGCAAGAAGGCTAAAATGATGGTCAGAATTTCTCAAAAAGAAAGGGAACAGTCAAGGAATAATTTACATATATCTGCTCTTAGTTCTGATGTTGAGGAACCACGAAGAAGGAAGACTCCAGAAAGAAAGACAGAACCTGAAGACCTTTCAGATGTTTCAGAAAGAATTTCCCCATCAAGAAGATTGCGTAAACGAAAAGAAGATTTAGTGGAAAACATTGGGGAACAGGTTGAAAGGCCATCGTCTCCCCTTAGGAGTCTAAGAAGGACACCAGAACGAAGGTCCACTTCTCGAAACTCTGAGCTTGAAGATGTTATCCGAAAGTCAAGTAGGTTATCTCCATCAAGGCAGGTGCGTCAGCAAAGTCAGGATAAGGTAGAGGATGCAGAAAAACTAGAATCCCCTTCTAGACCGCAAAGAAAAACACCAGAGCGAAAATCTCCTTCAAGAACCACAATAAAGTCAAAAGCCAAAGTTGAGGAGGTTGAAACAAAAATTTCAATTCCTGAACATTTGATACAGTCAACTAGCCAGGATGTAGATGAGACAGCAGAAAGACTTGAATCCCCTTCTAGAACTCGAAGAAAAACACCAGAGCGGAAGTCACCTTCAAGAATTACTAAAAAGTCAAGAAAAGAAGAGGTTGAAACTGACGCTCCTATGTCTGAGTTATTGATCCTGTCATCTAGCCAGGCAACGATAACAACTCAAGATAAAACACAAAGGTTTGGAGACACTGATTTGGTTTCTGAAGAATTTGTAGCCCAGGTCCCTGAGTCATCTCCTGAACTCCCAACTCGGAGACGTTCGGCCAGACTTAAGACACCAGACTTGACTGGTTTTGAAGCAGAAACTCTAGAGCCACTATCCCCGGCCAGGGGCGCGAGGGGCAAAACTCCTCCGAGAGCTGTCCATAGAGTTTTAGATGAGACAATAACTGAAAGCAATCAGAGTAAAAGTACTGAACTAATTTTTGAAGAAAATAAAACTGTGTCTGATATACAATCAAAGAAAGCTGAGGGACGGTCCGTTCCAAGCCAAGAGAGAAATGAAGTGGAAGAAGGTCACAATTTAAGGAGGACAAGGGGGCAGTCTAAGACACCTGATAGAATACTTGATGAGTCGCCCTCTAGAAAGGAGAAAGAGGAGGATTTTGAAGAAGGTCAAAACTTAAGACGTTCCAGGCGACATTCTAAAACACCCGACAGGTCAATTGCAGAACCATCAACTCCTACCAGACGATCCAAGCGACCTCTCAAAATCGAACCATTGCCTGTCAGAGAGTCTTCTCTTTCTCCTAAAAGAACTGGTGCCAGCACAACGAACGAACCAGCAACTCCTCCAAGAAAATCGGCTCGCAGATTAAAATCTCCTGACCGCCTGAGCACCGATCAAATTGAATCAGTGTCACCACAAAGGTCACCTAAAAGGTTTTTACCTGTTTTTAAACAGCTTTTCAATTATTTTTTTAAATATATATTTTCCTACAAAATGTTGAACTAATTTATTATTTTTAAATGTCAAACCTAAGGAACTGAACTAGCAAGTTATTATGATGGCACTGGTGGGGTATATTTACACCATATAAACTAACCATTCAGTACAGTAAATGTCTTACCTAGATCACTCATATGCATGCTGGCATATTTTCTTTTTTTAATAGTTTTTGTAAAGCATGACATTTTAAATCATACATATTTTTCAATATGCTTTGATTCCAGTACAATTCACAAAAGTGTCATGATTACTGTTCACTCACATTATGAGCACTTGGGTAGCCATTCCTAAGATCTAAGAAATTTTCTTTTAACTATTTACAGGTCTGTGAAAAAACAGCCTCCACAAAGAGAAAAAAGTCCAGAAAGACAGGAATCTGAAAGTATTGAACCAAGTGTTTCACCTGCAAGAAAGACAAGAAGGGAGAATTCCGAGGAGCCCCAACAATATCCCACTCATAGGACTCAGGGAAGAAAGACTCCAGATAGAACAGTGTCAGGTATGATGCATCTTGTAATAGCTAGCACCATACATGATGACACTGGTCATTACTGTGTTAAACAGTTGCTTTCATTTAATAGCAGGTGCTGCTCCATGCCCTCCTCCCCCCCCCCCGGCACAAATGGACCATAAAGAGCTTTGCTTTATCTCCTGAATGAGAGCGAGAAGCAGCTAGGTAAATGGTGGTAAGAGTAACGGAAAGTAAAATTATCTTGTATGTTAAACAGTTGCTTTCACTTAATAGCAGGTGCTGCTCCATGCCCTCCTCCCCCCCCCCGGCACAAATGGACCATAAAGAGCTTTGCTTTATCTCCTGAATGAGAGCGAGAAGCAGCTAGGTAAATGGTGGTAAGAGTAACGGAAAGTAAAATTATCTTGTATTTTTTTTATTTATCAAAGTCATTGTTTAATTTGAGAATGCTAAGCTACTTTTTTTTCCTATAGAGCCACATTTAACCCAAGAAGAAATGGAAGTGTTTGAAAACCAACCCACTGAAACCAGGAGGCAGTCGCCATCAAGAACCGTAAGAGGGGCAGACAAAACATTGGAAATTCCTCAAAAGTCTGAAGTTAACACAGAAGAGCCTGGGAATATGGAACAACCCGAGGAGGAAATGCCACCACTAAGATTGGAACTAGATGATGAGATTCCAGAGGATCAGCCAAACACAGATCAGGAACAACAACCAACATCATCAACTTTTCTGTCACAAAATAGCACTCCTAATAAAGGTTAGTAGTGAATCTTTCATTACAAGATCTTAATACATAGTTCAATGCTTCAGCTCTCAATAGGTTTTCAAAGAAAGTCTTCGTTAGTTAAATTTCCACATATGAAGTATAGTTTTGATGGTCTTATGGGTATTTGTTTCATACGGTAACCTTGGTGGTCTGGGCTGTCGTGTTATTTAAGTTATACATCACTTGTAAACAAAATAAAAGCTACTTAAAGATTATAATAATATGGCTGTTAGGTGACCACTTAGTTAGCTGAGCCACTGAAGGTAAAAAAGATACTGGGGCTTTTCTCACCTCATTTCAAAAATGTGTAAAAAGAATAAGTGGTTTGTTGACATTCTTCTCTTCCCAAGCAAACATTGAAGTTACACAAGCAACTAGTTATAAGTGTTTCTAGGCAACTAGTGACCTTATTCGGTTACATATTTATAAGTATTTCTTAGCAACTAGTTACCTTATTCATTTACATATTTTAAAGTTAATAATCCTAATGACATTGGATGGACAGTTAGTAATTAAAGTGAACCAAATGCACAGTTATTTTCCCTGAAATATAAATCTCCTCTGCTAGAGATAAATTTGTCATGGCTTTAAACAAATATATTGATCCTATGTTTAAAATTTATCAGCAGAGTCAAAAAATGATCTCAGCCATTCCTTCATCTTCTCGCCTCCACTGAAACATGCCTTGAGAAGTCAGACACAGGACAAAGTTGAAAAGGAAAAAGGAGAAGAACTAGAGATGGAAGAACACAGATTTATATTTTCAAGCCCCACAATAGCTGCTGACAATGAAAAGAAACACCACAGGGAGACAGACGTTGAACCCACTGGAAATGACAAACCCAAAAATGCAAGAAAAAAGATGTGGGTGATTTTTCAGACTGATTGGTTTCAAATTCCAAGATTTTGTGAACATAAATATATTATAATTTTTAAAAATATTAATTTTGAGTTGTTAAACTATTTGTTACAAGGGAGAGATTAGCACCTTTATTAAGTAGTTAAAAATTTCTACAGGAATAGCGCCTTATTGGTTTTATTAGGAAGACAGATTGTGGATACAAACGGTTAATGCTAGTTATCCTCATTTTTTAAATTTCAAAAATCTCTTTTTTCTCTCTCTCTCTCTCTCTCTCTCTCTCTCTCTCTCTCTCTCTCTCTCTCTCTCTCTCTCTCCCCCCCCCCCCGCCCTAATTATGTTTTCAATTGATTAATTAAAAATCACAGTTTCATTACTTCTCTTAATAATACTTCCTATTACACTTATTTAAAATAATCTGTATATTCATATCCTCTCTCTCTCCCTACAAAATTATATTTTATTTTAAAGGTAAAATAAATGGTTAAAAACAGTTAATGAAAGATTGAATTATTGTTGTTCCTGCCTAATACCTTAAACAGTAAAAAGTTTTTAATATAATAAATGGTAAAAATGTTCTTAAAATTGTAGAAAATAAAGAATGGTAAAATGTTAACGCTGAATATAATGAATTATAAAATATTGTTTTGAATGTGGTAAAACTAAAATATTCCTGTTGAATGCTGTAAAAACTCCTGAAATATATTGAGCATAAAGATTGTATTTTTCTATTTTAATCAAAAGGAAAAAGCGCACTCAGTATGGCAGTCCAATATTGCTCTCACCATCACCGGTAACATCTGGCAAGTCACGTAACACTAGACAACAGACTGTTAATCAACCTGCTCGTGGGACATTTCAGTTCGGCTATTTGAGCAATAGACACACCTATCGCAGGACGATGAGGTTGAAGCCACCACAGGTGAGATTGATTTCTATTTCCATGCGTCCATGTTTTTTTTAATTATTAAAATAAAAGGTAAATAAAAAAACATTGAACTATGATGTAATTTCATTGTTAATTCTTGCCAATCTTTATTGCAGGGATCTTCAAGGCAGTAAAGGAATCAGTATGACATTTAGAGATTTATTTTTTAATACGTAAAAGAGAGTCAAGAATGTGTACTTCAAGAATGAATTGTTTTATTTCCGTTTTGGCATAAAGAATAATATTTTGTAATTTTAGTGTATTGATCTGCATATTTAGAAGGTATCGCTTCCAAGAACTATACAGTAATATCTCTAGATGATTGTTCTAAAAGCAGGATTATTCCTGATGGTGAATTTTGTGTATTTTATTATTATTTTTTTTAATTACATGTGAATTGGAAAATTTTGCTTCTAGTTTATTGATTAATTAATGTTCATAAATTTCATGTCAGTGTAAAATGTTCTTGATTCTGGGAATTTTGATATCATGCTTGTAGGCCATTTTTGAAATATGTATCGATAACTTTACTTGATTATTTTGAAATTAAAAGAATAAATGTTTTTGTTCGTTTATCTCTGACCTTGCAAGAGTAAAGTAGCGCATGAGTATGTACGCATGTATGTATCTGTTGATAGTTAAGCAGCTGTGAATGAAAGATTGAATACTGACATTAAAACAACATGTATATTCCCAAGAAGTCTGTAGCTATGGTTTATATTTTTTTAAATCTATTTTGTTTCTGAGCAAAATTTAGCAAAGAGAAAGTGTGTCTAAACAAGCCCAACCCATTGCGGAATTCAATTATGCTACCATTCACCTTTGTTCTGTTGTTATAAGTTATTCACTCTGTTGTTCGTGTCTAAAATGAGCCATGTGGTAAATTCAAAAAGTGGCACTTTTAATGTGTTCGACTACTGTGATCCTAAATTTTATGGTGTTCTGAGCAGCGTGTCCTTCATGGTTTCCTGGTACTGTAATCCATAACGTGTCCATTTTTGTTGATTTGAAGAGACTGAAAATACTGTTAGGGATACCCCTTGCCTGAAAAGAAAAAAATGTTCTCTTATGCATATTTTTAATGAACCCCACCCACCCTAAGAGTGGAGCAGTTCCCTCAAGCGTCCTCTCACATCCAAGCCCAGGATCAACCATGGAAATAAAGTCTTGTGAAATTCTTGAGAGCAGCCAAATAGAGCTAACTGTCCATGTTTACTACAGGAGGGTAAGAAAAGAAACAGCTTGTTTGATACCACTGCAAGCAGCGAGCCACCAGGTTCCATATCATGGCAAACAGTGAGCCAGCAGTTTCCATAGCATGGCAAACAGTGAGCCACAGCAAACTGAGTCAGTTTACATGAGTAGAAATTGTACGCTGTTATATTGAAAAGACCAGGAGTTATATGGATTAATTTCAAACTACCGGTACTGCACTGCTCATAATTTACAATAATAAAGGACTGATTCAAGCCTAGTAAATAAAATAGCAAAACCTCAAACATCAGAATTTTTTTGTCCTGTGCTCTAATTCAAGCTTCCACATACCTCGTTTTGCTATTCCATAAGTTACACAGTGGAAAAAAAGTGCCTGGTACATGATATAGGTTAGGTGCATTAACCTTGAAAAAGAATAAACCTACATTATTATAATTTTATTTGAAGTTAATGTAAGATTACTTGTGTCCAAAAATTTCAATTTTCTTATGTAATAAATTGGTAAAGCTATTTAAATATTTATATATGGACTTGGGGAAACTTTTTCCCATCAAAAGTGTGTTGAAAACACAGAAAACACAGAGGGAAGATTTAATTTAAATTTATTATAATTAAATATGTAAAAGATCAAATATATCTAAATTTAAATGGAGCTAAAAAAATGTTGCCTAATAATAATTTTTTTTTTAAACTGGGCGTTTAAATGTGATTTAATATGGATATTTTAACATTATAAATAGTAGGTACCCCAAACCAATTTTCAAACTAAACCAACAACATTTTTGAGTGTTTAAGATGAAAGATCTAAGAATTAAATTATTGAACATACATTTCTAAAAAACATTTTTTTAAAACAAATCTTGGCCCTATAACTAATAGGCCAACATTCAAGAATCCAAACGTCAATAACTGGTTTGGATTTTGATTGGGGAATCTTGATATTTATTAGAATTAAATTATTATTTTTTTCATTATGGGATTATACCGGGGTGTTCCTTTCATTATTTAAATTTGATTCTCTTGTGGAAGTGTGCCGACGACCAACCCCCACCCACCCACCCTTTACAGCCTCGTCCAGAGAATGCACACGGTGACAACTGTTTCAACCCCACTCAAGAATCCTGACCTAGCCGTTTTGTTCCATCCAGGCACACACAGCAATTTTGATGACATCATCAACTGGGAGAGGGGGAATTCAAATTTTGTGTGGATGTCTTATGGGTCAAATTTCATCCACTAGCTCAGAATAAAATGAGTTTCTTCAGTATTTGGTAACTGCGCCTTTGATAGTTGACACACTGATCGCAGTTGGTCTTACATGGAGTGACTTTGCTGTGTATTATAATTACTGTTAACCGTATGCTGCATTGAATTTTAATACTCGCCATCCTTTAGGGGGGCAATATTACCTTTAAAAACAGTTGGGGGAGAAGTATTAGTGCTTAAACGTATAAAAGGAGGGAGGGAATTAAAATTACCTAAAGATTGATGACATAATTTATGGACGCCCCTTATGTATCAAATCATATTCTCAGTCTTTGTGCTTGAGAATTCTAATAATAACTTGGCAAACAATAGATCACGAAACGCTTGGCAACGCTGGCCTTTTAGGGTGTGCCACCTATGCTCTAGCACAGGGCGCCATGCCAATGGGGCGCCCAGTAAATATTTAAATTCCCTTAGTTTATTTTAGTGAAGTGGCGTAGAAAAACTAAACAGTCTCAATTAATGTGCATGTTAAAATGCGTATGGTAAGGTACATGTATAGCATCATAACACGTGCTACATAGCCTACGTCATAATCGGAAAAAAAGTGGAGCCATACAGGGATAGGGAAGGGGGCGCCAACGGGTGCTTCGCACAGGGTGAAAGTTTACCTAAGGCCGGCGTTGCGTATATTCCTGGTTAACTCCATCGGATATTGCTGAAAGTTTGAGGTTATGAATTGGATTGGTTAGAAACTATCATGGAAATATCTTAATAAAATATGAAGCCTACCATTACCTTTCTGAAAATTTTAGTACGAATAATTAAATTAAGGATTGTTCAACACGATTTGTCATAATAAAGTTTGTTATTTGGCGAATGCACCTTTCATAAAAATAGACAATCTACTTATGAAACTTTACATTAAAGAGTTATCTTTCAACATGTCGCCGTGTCGTGAGCTCATTAATAAGGTTTTTCCTCACATTGATCACGAAATTTCAGATTATGTCAATGGTAGGCTTATTTCAGCATATAATTCGAAAAATATTATGAAAACTCTAAATATAAATATTCCCGCAAAGTACTATGAACAGTGGGCGGCCAATATTTAGGCGTCGGCTAACTTAGATGCTAGCTTAGTTAGTTAGTGTTAGTTAGATTTATCATTTATTATTTATTTAATAAATAATATTTATAATTATATTGTTTATTTTAATTAAAGCCACATTTTAGTATTAGTAGGATATTCGATAAGTGTCATTATTTAGCTGGCAAGAATCCTGTTTAATATTATAAATAATAGGCTAATAAGTACTTGTAGTAGGCTGCGGCTGTTGACCTAATAAATGATTAAATGAGTGCCTAAGCCTAATTTAGGGTGACCAAATCATGAACTGGACACACCCAAGGAGGGTTGGGGGGGGGGATACCCTCCAGCTATAGAGGGGTCCGGGGGCCTTCGCCAGTAACTGTTTATTGAAATATGCTAATTTTAACTATTTTCAGACATAGAAATCTTAATCTTGGTTAATGCTAGTTCTAGTTGTGGATGCCACACGACGTCTTTTAGTTAGCGTGTTTATTTAAGTTGCCATTTATTAGGGTTGAGGTTAGGTTTAGGGATACATTTAGGGTTCAGGTTAGGTTTAGTTTAGATTTAGTGACTGAATTAACTGGTCTTCTCAACCAAGATGGGGGCCAATCATGGCATCCTCTCTCAACATTTACCAAAATCTTTTTAAATTACCTTCACTTTTGTAATTTAATTTAAACGAAAACAATAATTTTGCTGTGAATACTTATCGAAGTGGTTATGCGCAGCCGACTGCGTATAACCCTGAGAGTTATACACAGTCGGCAAGTCACATGAGGTCTATATTCTTCCTGTGTTACAGTATCAATTAATAAGGGTGCCTTGATATCAGGTGACTGTGTGGTCGAATGGTCTAAACTGACCAAACCTCAAGTTGGTGGTCTTGAGTTCAATTCCAGCCAACGGCAAGCCATGAATACACGTTAGTTGCTATGCTTTTTCTCGAGAATGAAGCAACAACTAGGCTTATTGTTTTACTTTTTTTTTGGCTAAAAAATGTTAAAACATGAGAAGAATTATTAACTTGACCAATGTAATGTTAATAATGTTATACTTATAATTATCAAATATATGTTTGTGTTGTTAACTAATTTTGTGGCAGATAAAATCATGTTTCACTGGTACAGTAATAAAAATAATCATGGGTTGAGAGTAGCAGGAAAAAAATCGCTGTAGGGGCAGGGGTTCTGTAGAGGGGTCAGTGTAAGTAATACTTTCACACAGTTATAGTTTTGCATGGAAGCTGAATACAGTTACATTTAGGTCATCAAAAAAAAAAAATCATAAATGATAAAATTTAAAAAAAGATAAATAGAATGTATTTCCTGAATTAGTCAGTAAAACTAACCACATAGTCATAGCAACATATAAAAACCTAATCAATCAAAATGCATGACTAGACTTAGACCATGGAAATGCCTTTAAAAAAATCTAAGACTTAGGCTTAGACTCTAAGAAATGTAGACTTATACTTATAATTATAATATATAAGATACAAGCAATAATACTAATAATAGCACTAATACTATTGCCATTGCTATCATCAATTTCAATATTAATTAAAATTAATTCAATTAAAATTTTACGTTAAACACATTAGAAGTTCTAGTTCAAAACAATCCATCATGCAGCTAATTACGCATAATACTTTTTTTTTAAATTACCAAACAAGCGATAATAAACCTTATTTGGCTAAATTCCCAGCCGACTGCGTATAACCCTGAGAGTTATACGCAGTCGGCTGTGAATAACCCTCAGGGTTATACGCAGCCGACTGCGTATAACGCTTCCCAATACTTATTCATTTATATACATTTCACAACATAATACAACACAACAAATTAAATTTCTCTAGTCTAGGATTTAAATTGGGGATATTTGGCTGTTGTCCCAGCCATTGTTAAAACCTCCTTCGTATCAAATATGTGAAAATGTGTTTGGTTTTAGAAAAGGGACATTTAGGCGTCCCGAGAGACTTTTTCGGGACACCGAGTACAATGGTGAAAAAAGGGACAATCCTGTTTTTACATGACATTTGGTCACCCTAGCGTAATTTCAACTGAACCATTTAAATGAGTGATTAACTTATTCATTTTGTCAGTCAGCAAATGTTAGGCTAATCATTAAGCTTGGCCTCTTTACTGTGAATAGGCCTATTGTTAGCCTTATGATAATTAGGTCTGCATGACATTGACTTCATTGAGAGCATTTTAACTTTTAAAATCTTAATCTTGAATGAATTAGTTTACTGAACTGGATATTTTTTCTCCGGACCTAAAAATATTTACCTTGACTACTATAGGCATGCTTGAAGATGGGGGTGATGACTTTACAACATCAGATGATCTCTATGATGCTATTGGAATTATGTTGCAACAAGCTGATGAATCCAAGACAGAAGATGAAATAAAAGCAATTTGTGACAGACTTTATTTGTTACTTCACAAGTTTGTATTGTTAAACATTACTGTTCTGTAAACAATAGTGTCAGACACCCTTTATTTATACAGAGAAAATACATTGTTTGAATAACACTTAGTCTTCAATATGATAATAATGGTAGATAATTTTCATTTTTCTCCTCCTTAAGGTACAGTCAAAGGAACTCAAAATTTGTCACAAAAAATATTCAATTACACATATTTTTAATTGATTTTCCTTCAATACTACAGTGACTACATTGTATATTTTTCTAAAGGTAATTAGTCATTAATTAATGTCTCCTATAATTTTGAAATATTTGTCATTAACCATTTAGCACTACAAGCAATGGAACAAGTGGAGCTGTGAATGGACTCAATAAAATATTAGAGGCTCCTGTACAAATGTCAGACCTAGCTGAAGAAATGACAAATAATAATGATAACAGTATATGGCTTGTAAAAAGAGACAATTCATCAGTAAGTTGTGAATTATTTGATTTATTCAATTTTTTTCATACAAACTTTAACATAAGAGCGAAATAATATATATATAAAATATATATGAAAATATCTTGGAAGTAAACAAAAATAGATAAGCACTATAAAAAAAGTTGTCCATCACTTTGCTAAGAAGACCACAAATGTTTAGAAACATGGAAAAGAGCAAGAAAAATCTGTATCCATAAAATGACATAGACTTTTTTGTCTCACATGATCCCCTGTGCCTATGCACTTGCATAGCTGCGGAAGTAGCCTGAAATATGGCTGTTACCTGTAAGTCTTCACTCAGATTTTTCCCATATCCTTTGATTTTTTTTCCCCCAAGTTACTAATGTGGCAGGAGCATCTTAGCCCAAAGATTTGAGGCAGTACTTATGTGTTTACAGCGGTACAAAAAGTTGTTAGTCAGGATTTTAAATTCAGCATTACAGCCTTCTAAACTTTATACCAGACATTTCCCCCTGTCCAGCTTATAAATGAAAACATTCTTTATCTTAGGGTATACATTTCTAATTTGAAAACCAAATTAATTCTTAACAAAGATTTTTATGTTCTGTGACAATGAAGAACATTATGTTTCTATTTAGGTTGTAGACCAGAAGAAACTTGAAAAAGCAGACAAGAAAATACAGAAAAAGTTAGGCAAACGTGAGCAGACAACAATAAAGAAGGTAGAAAGGTAACTACAATGTTAGGTTATTTTTTACTATGAATTTATGTGGTTAAAATTAAACATATTTCAATAAGTAATTTATTGTAGGCCTTATTTATATTGTCAACATCTTTTATGTTTAATTTCATGAAATAATAATAAATATGGAAAATGTGAACGATAAAAGGTGGGAAATATGTTCAAAGGAAATTAGTTTTAAAAGAGACACTATGATATATTTGCTTAACCCTATTTATATTAACAAATGATAAGCAATCTGTTGGTTATGTGTGACTTACATTACAAATATATCTCTTGCAGTGTGCCAGAAATGGCAAGTGCTAGTCAACAGATCAACAAACGAGATGCCAAAATGGATGCTGCTGGTACCAACAAGTCCTATGATATCAAGCTTGAGAATATTGATGTATCTTATGGGGATAAGTAAGTACATGTTTCTAATCATTGTGCCTTGGCTTTTCTAATTTCAGTAAACCCTACCTGCCTCAGCCTGTGGGGTGACCCTTGAACCCATTATCATTATTAAGCTATTTTTTTTATGTTTTAAGCATTATTTAAGTATTATTTATTCATTATTTTTATTAATTTTGCTAATTTTATCAAGTTAGATGCATCTATCACTATAATTTCTACAAAATATGATAGCTGATCTACTTTTTGCTTCAATTTAATAATTCTAAAATTATAAACAATAATTAATACCAGTACTAAATAAATTGTCATTTTTAATAGCTTGAGAAGTGGATTTTTAATTTTGTTTTGATAATATTATTTCTTCAAAAGCTTATTTTTCTTTATTGGTGACTGATCTTCATTTGTCAAACACAGCTGAAAAATTGTAAAACAAAATACTTTTAGGGTGCTTCTGACTGGAGCTGACCTACATCTAGTATTTGGGCGGCGTTATGGTTTCACAGGACGTAATGGCTTAGGGAAAACAACACTTTTGAAAATGCTTTCCAGGTACATTTATTTAATGTAGTATGACTTATTTTGTCAACTGAAATATTGCTAAATCAACAGCTTTTTATTCATTTATTGAGAGTAGTTTAAAATTCTGAATGAAAAAGTAAACTTAAGATGTGAGATATAGGGTGGGGGGGGGGGCATGGCTATAGTCTTTTATAAGATACTGAAGCCAACCTTATTTTTTAAATCATTAGTGGGCATTTGAGAATTATAACATTTCATTTATTGAGAATAGTTTAAAATTCTGAATGAAAAAGTAAACTTAAGATGTGAGATATAGGGTGGGGGTGGGGGGGCATGGCTATAGTCTTTTATAAGATACTGAAGCCAACCTTATTTTTTAAATCATTAGTGGGCATTTGAGAATTATAACACTCTCTAACTTTGATTTTGGAAAGTAAATGGCAATGGGAGCACGTAAAGTGTAAGAAACTCCTATCTCCAGAAAGATAACTCTCCCATGTCAGCAAAATTATTTAGGATGCACAATGAAATGGAGCTAAAGAGTCAATTTTCTTTTTCTTTTTTTTTTTTTTAAGACTGGGCTTAAGCGAGAAAAGGAAATCTTAAAACAGACTTAATCCTATGAATGTTTCATAAATATTTATAATTTATGTTACATGACCATGATTAAAATGTGTAACATGAAGAAGAAATATAAAGCACATATCACATTGCAAAGTTGTTAACAAATTTATTGTGTCTTCAAGTCATGCTCTAAATTTTTGTAATTTGATAAAGGATACATTTATTGAATTGTGCAAAATGAAAATATGATGTTTGATAAAAATGCTATTTTTCACAGTGGATCACTGAAGATTCCGTCCCACATCACAGTGTTGCATGTGGAGCAGGAAGTGGCAGGAGATGAAACACCAGCTCTCGAAAGTGTTCTGGAATGTGATGAGAAGAGGGAGGGCTTGCTTAAGGAAGAGAGAATGTTAACAGCTCAGCTTCACTCATCAAGGTTGGTGGGCTTTACTTCTAATCTGATCAGATGGAGGACACACTTACATTGAGCTTTTACGATATGTTAACTTTTAAATGGAGCTTTTATGATGTGTTAATTTTTACATTTATCTCAATGATATGTTAACTTTTACATGCAGCTTTTATTATATGTTAACTTTTATATGCTGCTTAATGACATGTAAACTTTTATATGCAGCTTTTATAACACTTGTAACAGACCTGCCAACCCTTCCGATTTTGACGGAATTATACAGCTTTTTTACCCCTCATTTCAACCTTCCGAAAAACACCTTAAAATTCCGATTTTCCTAACATTATAATTTTTCACCGTCATAATAATCCCAAAGAGACCCCCAAAAAAAAATTTTTTTTTAAAATCGGGGAAGGACAGGAAGGGTTGCATTTCGATGATGCCACTTCCTTTGTTTTTACAAAGTATCTACATGTCCGGCGACCGGACGAATAAGTTCTCAGTCTTGTCACGTGAACGCTAATAGTTGATCAGAGTTTACAGTACTTTATTTCAACAAATTCAAGATAGTCTGGACATTTGCATGAAAAAGAAATACTAGAACCATTGCTGGTATATATAAGGGGTCGTTCGTAAATTACGTCACGCTGAAAATGACCTTTTTGGGGACACACGTGCACACACACACATATATATATATATATCCTCATCCTCCCCCCCCCCCAAACCTTTTCATGTCACATCACACCTAAAAAAAATTCAAACGTTCATAAAATTTTCATAACTAAACTAAGATTTGATTTTATTCTTTAAAATTTTGCCATAATGGATTAAGATGTAGTATTATTAGAAAACTGAGTTTCATAATACCTATAATACCTGAGGCAATTTCGACCTCAAATTAATATTTGTAAAATTAATTAAATAAAGATATTTTTCAAAATTAGAAAATTTTAGATAATTTGCGAACGATCCCTAATAAAGATATGGTTAAAATGTGACAATGTTAAATTAATCGTGACATGTCCACTGGATGAATATCTCCCACACTATTTTCCGGTCACGGAACTGTAGATACTGACTAGCACACATATTCTGGTGAAGGTCTGAGATTACCCTCTTATGACTCGGCTAGTAAATTGGCTACCAGCTCCATTTGCTGAGCTTAGCCAAACATTTTCCTCACAAAGGGTTCTCCAACCGCCCTGGTTTCCCCCAGGACATCTAGTGAGGAACATTCGATTAACATGTGCACACATGTTCAAAACACGTTCTCGAAACCGAAATCATTAGTCAATCATCAATTGATCCGATCACGATTCATTCTTTTACTGGGCTAATCAATAATTAATTTGTGTTGCGACTTTTTTGTTTGTTAAAGCTTTTCTTAATTAAATGGATAAATCGACAGTAGTTTGTACAATGATATTAATAAACATGTTTTAACACACACACAAAAAAACCCATACATTTACAGCAAAGCAGGTGAATAATCTACGATATCCATGTCTAATTTCTTTGCTAAGGAATGGGACGATTATAATCAGATCAGAAGTTTTTTTACCACCTTTCTATTGAAGGAAATATTTCTCCAACCAACTCTGATTGTTTTAATGCCAGAGTCAAAGAAATGTTTCCAGACTCGCAGATTGCTAGAAGATTGTGAAGAAAAATTACGATGAAACAAGGGCAAGCATGAAAGTTGATACTCTTTCTAACTTGCTTGTAACTAAAATAAATTGCAATTCACTTTTCCAAAGTTGGGCAAGTGCAAAAAGGCCACTAGCGATATGCTGGAAAACTCAATTTAAAACTGAACTCTTAGCAGCCTGTGTACATATGTAAATAAAATGGATATTCTGTTCTGTATATATCTGTATACAAATTACAAACATTTCCAGTTATGTTTTCTCATGTTCTGTGGACTCTTCAAAGACAATGGAGGTAGCTTTATATTTCTTTATTTACTAAAAAAAGGCTTGTGCATTAGTATGTAGATCTAAACCAACGCCCCCTCCCTTCAAGTGCCGCAACGCTCCTCCCTCCAAGTGCCATAACACCAACCCCCCACCCACCACCGGCACTACAGTTTTTTTCTTTCTTGGCAGGTCTGCTTGTAAGCAAAGAAAGTTAAAAGTGTTTCATCAGCATCATTTTTATTTATTTCTCTCCAGTCCTGGCCAAGACAAAGACAATGCTACATCATCAAGATTACAAGAAGTGTACAAAGAGTTGATGGCCATAGAATCAGACAAAGCTCCAGCCAAGGCAGCCATGATACTTAATGGCTTGGGATTCTCAAGCAGTGACCAACAGAGACACACAAAGTAAACTGATGTTTATCTTAAGCAGCTGTATTGATTGCCGAGTGACTATTTATCACCCTCATTCCAATTGTAACATGAAAACGGCCAATGGAGCATATGTTCACTTTTCTAAATTTATAACTAGGTTGTTCAGATACCATCATATTAAATTATATATTTGTAAGCGCTTGATTTCAAGAAGTAAATGCCAAGCCAACACATGCAATTATTGAATTTGTTTGATGGATTCATGAATAACACCATCCTCACCATTTATGTAATTTAGAGAAAAGTCTGCTCTTGTCAGCTTCAGGTGTTTGATTTACTGCGCTACAATTCTTTCATGTTTTTCACTACAGAGAATTTTCTGGTGGCTGGAGGATGAGATTAGCCTTAGCCCGGGCATTGTTTACAAAGTGAGTAATGTTTTTTGGTAGATCATTTTTTAAAGGACATTTATAGTCTGCCATTACAGAATGGATGATAAATGAGGGACTGCGTTAAAGCAGTGTGAAGGAAATAGTGGAACAAGCTTCCAAAAGCAACAGTTGAGGCGACGACACCTGACACATTTGCAGCTTTTGCCTCCTGTCTTCCGAACCTAGTTCATAAAAGCCTTGCTGAGTAGCCCTTGAAACCAGTGTGGTGTCCCCTTGAAAACAATGCGCAGTAACATCGCGAACCCCTCTGAAAATTAGGAGCCTGAATGATCAATCTATTGATCGTGGGCTCTCAAAATATAGAAGAAGTAGAACAACAAGATATGTTTAGGGGTGACATGAAGAAAAAAAAAGGACAGTAAGAATGACTTTTCTGCCAGGAGCCTTCTTCAGCAGACAATACAAAGCAAAAAATAACAGATAACTAAAAAAAAATTTTAAAACGCATGTGTTAGAAAATCTCAATAAAGTCAATAGCACTCTTTGTGTTTAGAACCAAATGTGCTCTGTGTTAGAGACAGAAATTAAGTTGTTCAAAGGCAAAACATGCATGTCACACAATGCTGTGGTGCGTACTACCAAGGAGATTACAAGAGGTTAAAATACTTTTAGTATTAATAAATTAAAGATTTAACATAAAGTAAAACAACAAAATAGAATAGAAAAGGAATAAAATAGAAGACCAATAGTAAGAGAGTATTTGTGATTGATTCCATATGGTGCCGATAATCTGACACAGATTATTTATAAAATCAATTAAAGTTATTTTTTTTACTCAAATGTAATATTTATAGCGTAGGTTCATTTATTAATATTATCATTTCTATCTTGCCAGGCCAGATCTACTATTGCTTGATGGTAAGTTTTCATTCAAGATTAGCTGAAACTATGCAAACTGTTCTAATTTCAGTCCACGTGATATTTTACATTGAGTGTCTCCTTCACACCAAGTTCAAACACCACCTGCACACTCTGAAATTTCTGTCTTTTTTTTTTAACATGCACCCTGCTGTGAACATTTATAGCAGGGGGAAACTGAACATTACTTTACTGTGAGTTTTACTGATGAATATGTGTGAAAAAGAAAGAGGGGATGTCAAGGGAAATTGATGAGATGGTTATGATTTAGTGATCAGTGTCATGAACAATAATAATAAATACTTAGTGACCGATGTTGACCATATTAAATAATGACCTTTAACACAATTTTGAATATTTCACAGAACCTACGAACATGTTGGATATGAAAGCCATTATTTGGTTGGAGAATTATCTACAGGTAATTGTACCAAGAAATATGTTAGAATTGTTTTGTTTTAAAAGTATTAGCAATAAAACTTGTGAAAATAAGCAAATAAAACTCAAATCAATTACAAAGTACAGAGAATAAGAAATTCATGGTTAATAGTGTTTTAATTTTTTTTTAACAAAGTGCCATGGTTCATAGCACTTATGTATAGGACTTAACAAAAGGAGGGCGACAAAATGTATTGCTGACAGTAGGAAAATTATACAACTTGGAACAGGTTATAATGATTGCATTAATTCACTATCAAGTTGTGATGATGATTTCTCCATTTTTATTGTCTTTGTTCAATAGACTTGGCCCACTACTATTCTAGTAGTGTCTCACGACAGGCTTTTCTTAGATGCCATTTCTACAGACATAATCCATCTACATTCATGTAAGCTGGATAGCTACAAAGGGAACTACGAAGTCTTTCACAAAACCAGAGATGAAAGGATGAAAAATCTACGTAAAGAGTATGAGGCACAGAAACAGTACAGAGACCATATACAGGTAAGTTGTTGTTTTTTTTAAATTCAATTCTGGCCCTTTTGTCTCAAAGGTTGATAGTTTTAAAACAAATGTGAGGGTGGCAGTATCAACTCAAGCAACTTAGAGTGCAGTACTAAAGACCATTCTAGATAGAGTTTTTTTATATGTCATGGGGTCCCCCGGTTCTCCGGTTGACAAGTCTGTGGTGGCTTGTCGATTAGGAGGCGTCGGCCACTGACCCCCTCAACGTTCCCCGGGGAACACAACTACTGGGCGCGCCTGCGTGGGCAGACAAGGGATGTGCTCGGTACCTGCCGTACATAGAACAGCTCCCACAGGGCTGCCAGTTTGGGATAATTCCCAGCTGGAAGAAAAGGCAGAGACAGGGTAGGGATCATGATTACAAGTTGCCGTTAATGGATGAGAGGCGAAGGTGGTAACCTCTGGCCGATGATTCTTTCTACGCAGCCTTGAGAAGCTGCTCTAAGGCAACCGTTTTGTCCCAGCTACATCAGGAATTAGTTGTGGTGTGGAAACCCACTGTGGAAGCCCTCTTATTGGGCGTCTAACGCTTCCCCGGGATGGGAGGGGGAAGATATTAGGACGTACATTTTTCCGGTTTGGGGAGGAGTGTTTTGGGGAGGGCATAAAGAGCGCAAGCTCGACGGCCCGCTGACGCCATGGGGTAATGACCTGAACGAAGACTTTTTTTATGTTATGTGAATGAGAGAAAACTTACTTGTGTGAATGAGAGAAAAACTTCATCTCTCTGCCTTAATACATCATTAGAAAAATGGAATTAAATAGAAACATTAAGTCTACCATGAGACATAATTTGTGTTGCTGGCAAGGCTGGACAATATCTTGAAAAATCTTACAGCATTGCATGGTCATTTCTGACATTGTCTTTTTTGTACATTACCAGCTGTTTATTTCTGACATTGTCTTTTTATATACATTACCATGTGGCCATTTCTGACATTTTTTGTACATTACCAGCTGTTTATTTCTGACATTGTCTTTTTTGTACACTACCAGGTGTTCATTGATTAAATGTCAATTTTGTAAATTATCAGGTGCTCATTAATAGATTGTCTTTTTTGTACATTACCAGGTGTTCATTGATAGATTCCGCTACAATGCCAACAGGGCAGCTCAAGTACAGAGCAAACTTAAACTATTAGAAAAATTGTGAGTTTTAACTTTACATACTATTCTTTTCTTATGCCAATCGTATAGTTATTATGTGAGTTCACACAGTCCTACTCACTATTTTTATCTTATGTATACTCTAATAGTCATACTAATAGATACTTATTGTTTACTTTTATTCAAAGGTCAAATGATAAAAATTTATTTTCCATTCAATAGGCCTGAAATTAAGCCACCAGAAAAAGAGACTGAAGCTGTCTTGAAGTAAGTTTGTTTGTAAGAGAAGTTGGAGAAAAATGAAAAGTTTATAGCATCCTAATTTTTCATGAACTGGTTTGTCTGGCAAACGCTTGCATCCAATGAACTGGTTTGTCTGACAAAACCTTACAACCAATTATTTAAATGATATATTTGTGTTTTGTAGTGCCGGTAGAGTTATCCCATTGATTCAAGGAATACATCACTTAACAAATGTTCATCCTTATCATTTCCAGATTCCCCGAGTCTGAAAAGTTGTCTCCCCCCATATTGCAACTGGACGATGTCACTTTTTATTACAACAAAGACAGAATTCTCTTCAACAAAGTTTGTGTCAATGCAAACATGGACTCAAGAATTTGTATTGTAATATTTTTTTTTTCTTTCTTAAAAAAAAAATGCTTTAGAAAATAAACACAGTATGAAAGGGTGAAATCCTCTCTCATAAGGCTAAAATCACTTTTTTAGTTTGAAAACTCCAATCAGAGAACTATGTTTGAAGCAGCTAGTCTTGACTGTAATTCATTCTCGGTTTGTTATTATCTAGGTTGGTGACAATGGCGCTGGTAAAACAACATTGCTGAAATTGTTGCTAGCTGACCTGGAGCCCTGCAGTGGCCACCGTCACGCACACAGGAACTTACGAATCGGCTACTTCAGTCAGCACCACGTCGACCAGCTGGATATGAGTGTCAACTCTGTACAACTTTTAGCTAACAGATTTCCAGGTGAGAAGTAACTGATGAAAGTATTTGTAAGCTTGGAATAACAAAATGCACTGGTCCATGTTGAGATATCTTTTACCATCTAGAAAAATACGCACCAATTAATTATCCTTGTAAAAACAATTTGAACATTGCCTGGCCAATAATGCGTTTATTATTGTCACCCATCTTATTAACAAGGCAACATAACTAGTAGAAAAGTGGGCAACAGTGGATAGAAGAGTGGGCAGCATAGCTGTGGAAGAATGGGGCAAACATAGCTGGTTGTGGTAGTGGGGCATCAATTTTAATATATGAATATTAAAAAGTACCAGGTAAAAATTATGATTTAAACAAAAAAAAGTTTTATTAAATATTTTTAATTTTTGCAACTTTGAGCAGTAAGAAATTTTACCAGCTCCAAGCTAAAAGACCCTGCTCCAGCTCCACTCAAAATCCCTGATTCTGAAAAAAGCAAATGAAGACCTCAAGGGAAAAAACGGCAGTCCATTTTTAATTTTTTTAAGTGATCACCCCTGACTTATAGCCAGTTAAAAATAGAAGGTGCTGCATTAAGTTTAAAGGAGAAAAAATGGCTAAGTCTATAAGAAAAATGGAAACGAAAAATCCGTTTACAATGGAAAAAGAAGCATAGTCCAATGTTTACAATGGAAAAAGGGGCTAAGTCACTATTATCACGTGACATTTGAAGTCACATGATTTAAAGGTCCAATGAGAGATAGCTATAGTGTAAACAAAATTTAAAGATGGCGACCGATTCGCTCAGCTGACCGACAAACCGACGAAAAAGTTAACAGACAGACCTGAATTTTTTTAATTTCCTACCACAAGAAAACAAAACAAATTAACATAAGCACGATAAATTGGACATAAAACATTAACAAAAATAAAATTTGTATTTTTAAATCGCATTTTACCCTTGTTTTGTTATGTTCAGTTAATTAATGTGTGTATCCGTCTCGTCTCTTTCGCTGTCGCTCTAACACTAGTCAAGTCTAGTCTATCACTTTTTGTTGCATGTCTGTGTCTCTCCTTTTCACTCTATCTCAGTTAGTTTGTATATCTCTCTCCCTTTCGCTCTAACTCTGTGTCTGACTCCCCCTGAACTCTTTATCTTCGAGTGTCTGTCTTGCTATCTCGGTCTGTTACTCTTTACTGACTTTACTCTTAAACTTAAGTTCATACAGTTACAGCTACTGCTAGAGGAAAAAAACTAATATTGGGCCAAAATTGTAAGAAGCACATCAGAAACTTAGAAAGTATGATTTTATATCTGATTTTCAGTTTAAATTCTAAATAATATATTTTTTTAATGATAGTTATAGGCATGATAGATATTCTTATATTAATAGTTTAAACAAAAATAATTTGCCTAAGGCAGGGGTCATTCGTAAATTACATCACGTTAAAAATAAACTTTTTAGACACCCCCTCCCCTTGTCACGAAATGTCACAAATTCTCCCCCTCCCCCCTTGTCACATCACCTAAAAAAACTCAAAACATACATAAAATTTTCATAACTAAACTAAGATATTATTTTATTCTTCAACATTTTCCCATAATGCAGCAGTTCTAAACCTGTGGGTAGCGACCCCTTTATGGGTCGAATGACTCCTTTAAAGGTGTCACATAAGACAATCGGCAAATGCATATCCTCTACAGTTATAAAGTACTAACGAAAATAGCTTTATGGTTGAGGGTTGCCACAACATGAGGAACTGCATTCAAGGGTCGCGGCATTAAGAAGGTGGAGAAACAACAAAAATGTGACTCTGCCGTTTTTTCCCTTGTGGTCTTCAAATGTAATTTTTTTAATTGACAGGTTTGGCACAAGAGGTGTATCGTAATCAGCTGGGGTCATTTGGTGTATCTGGTGATTTAGCGTTGCGTCCGGTGTCAAGTTTATCAGGAGGACAAAAAAGTCGTGTAGCATTCTCAGTAATGAGCATGACCAAGTAAGTTATATAAATCACCAGCTATAATTTAAAAGTAGTTACTTATTTTTGTATTCTCTGCCTTGAACTCGTTATGTTTGTTTTTTTCAATTATATTTAAATTTAATTTAATGGCCAAATATTTGTTATCCATGCATTATTTTTATCAACAACATTTTTTTTTCTCCCTATTCTTTAGCCCCAACTTCTTTATCCTTGATGAGCCCACAAATCATTTGGACATGGAAACAATTGAGGCTCTTGGGGAGGCCCTGAACAAATTTCAGGTACTAGTATTACCAAGGAATATTTATATTGTTTATAATTATCATCTGGAATGATTGATCATCAGTTGGAATGATAGTTTTAATATAGGCTCATCAGCTGAATGATTGTTTATTACATTAATGATTAATATTGGGTCATCAGCTGGAATAATTGTTTATTACATTAATATAAGGTCATCAGCTGGAATGATTGTTTATTATGTATGATAATCAGCGGGAATGACCATTATTTTAATGATGGTCAAGAGTTTAAAACTAGGGTACATTTCTTTTTCTTCTTAGGGAGGTGTCATTTTGGTTTCTCACGATGAACGCCTGATACGTAGCATTTGTAAAGAGCTGTGGGTTGTAAATGCTGGAACAGTTGCATCGTTAGAGGGAGGCATTGATGAGTACAAGCGTCTTGTACAGATTGAGCTTGAGTCTCATTAGCTAAAGTAAAAGTTCTGCCGGCTTATCTTGTGAATATTGGATTAATTTATATTCATTGTAGATCTTGATCAACAGATATATTGAAGTTGTTTTTGGAGAACATAAAGAGGGAAAAGAGAGCATTATGGGCAATTTTTGGTGAAGCTCTTTTTAATATTGCAATATTCACTTAACATTACTTGAAGCAACTTATTATATTGGGAGTCATACAGAGGTAAATATAATGAATTTTCAAAATACAAATTGTTATTTGAAGCCGGTTTGTTTTAAATTAATTTAAATTGTTTAACTCATTGTTATATTCTGCAATTTATTTTTGTTATTCATTTGAAATGGGCAATCTATATAGGAGAAATAGTTCTTTTGCACTCACCTTACATGAAACCAATTTTATGTAGTAGGCCTGTATTTGAAAGTCACTGCCCATTTCATTGAAATTAAATAGAATTTTGTAATTGTAATTTAAGAAAACTGTGTTCCCCTCCATCTACGTCATATTCAAGATGGTGCAGATAATTATCCAATGATTTCAGTAAATTTGAGATGGAATTAATATAACATTAAACAAGCCCTTGATTAGCCCTTTCATGAACAAAAATGTGCAATCTTGAGGAACATTTTTTTTTTAAAAATGCATTGTCAGAGATATTATACCAAAAGTTATTTAACTTGACTAACAGAATTAATTAGTACCGGTTTTTCAAGAACTAAGCAACACAGGGTAGAGGAAATACTTTTTAAAAACAGACAACACAAAATAGTATTGTTTATTGTCTTTCAATATTTCCTTACCACCTTTTCCATAAAGTCACCCACCAAGGTATTCTGTCAAATATTTCACACTGCCAAACAATGTTAATTAGGGTTGTAACATTTCATAGCAACAAAATTTATTCTTGATGTCAATTAAAAGATTTTTTTAAAGTACCGGTACATTCATATGTACATGTGATGTATTTAAAAAAAAAGAACTGAACACTGAAATGAAAAAATGATAAAGCCCATTATAATCTCATATAAATTGTTTTGTTGTTCCAATTCTCATCTACATTGTTTTTGTTAATATCTATTTGTGACAGCGTACAAATTTAAGGATGCTATTTTTAATGCTATAGTGCCTGAATAGGCAATATGTTAGCCAATGGCAACAGGATGAAAAATTTGTTGCTGGCCAACTGAAGCTTACACACTTATTAATTTGAATTATTTTAGGAATTGTGGTAATGGCACTGGCCGATAATACATTTGTGGCTAATAACAACAGGCTATTGCCCTCTATAGCTGTAACGGTGATGGATGTACTAAACATTATTGGGATCATCCTTCAGCCTACACAATGTTGTAGCTTGTTTATTTGCATCTTCCCAAGTGAATTATGGGGCGCATCCTGGAGTGGCAGTCTCTGCTAACTTTTTGCAGCCGAACCTGGACTGCTGATTTTCTTTGGCCTTCCATATTGCTCTTCATGTTATAAGGCCTTCATTACATGCCTCCTCTGCCAGTTAGATTCCCATATACATATCTCTAAATGGCTTAGTGTTTAACAGTATTAACACCAAGGATGTTCAACTGTTTGAAGTAAATAGCCACATGAAATTTCAATTTTAAAGACTGTTTATCAACACTCATAGAGTGACCTAACCATAACCACAAATAAAATATTTCACAATCAACATGGAACTTAAACTAATTGCAGTACCAAATACTAATAACTTTCATTTACCAGTATATATTTTGTGCTGCTTAAATAGTTCTGTGCAACATTTTGATTGACATAAATATTGTAAAGCAGGCAGCTTTTAACTGTAAGAATAATGAGATATTTTATGATCTTAAAACTCCTGTTAGCAGATTTTTATAAATAAATTGCTCGGAGAGGACAGTTTATTCTTTGACACAAAACTTTAGTTCAGTTTGACAAAAGGTAGTCATATGGATGCAGGTTGTTAAATAGTAGACCCCAGTGAAAATATAATTTTCAATAAATGAGGTCCTTAGATTCTTTACCTTTGTCCCCAAACTAATAAATCTTTTAAGGGCTTTTTGCCACCACCAGACAAGAAAAGGAACCATTTGCAATTAGCAAATATAAAAAATTTAACAAATAAAAGAAAAAAAAAACAATAGCTGATTGAATTTGTTTAATGTTCTAGTTCAGAATTTAAAAAAAATAATATTTATGTTAAATTGTCCTCATCCCTGATGTACTGGCCTGTATCTGCCTGATGAAACACAACAATGGTCATGGGATCACAGTTCCTGCAGGCTAGGGTAGACTTTGCTGCCACACCAAAACCCTAGGATAAAAACAATAGGATTTTAAAATGAGAGACTTTTAAAAAAATATTCCTCATTTACTCAGACTAGTGTGTAGCAACCTTCCTTCTTAAGACGAGTTCAAAATGAACAAACTCTAGGTGCGTTTACTTAACAGGGAGTTTGATAGGCTCTATAGTGGTCTAGGGGAACAACACTATTATAGGGTGTATTGTGGAACCCCACAATAACACGCACCGTCAGGCCTAAGTTCTTTGAAAATTTTATCCATTGCTTGGAAAGCCATTTTTTAAAGCGAAAAAAATCACAACTTTTCAAAATATCGTAGAAAATGAGCCCCTAAACGCACCAGGTTCAAACTAGTATAAAAATTAATGCCGAAAACGAGGCTTTCTTGCAGTAGAACTATAAATAGTAATACGTAGGGGATTTCCGCTGTGCTAAGAACGAAAGTAAACAACGCAACCCCGCTTTTAACGCGATCCGATTTTATGGACTCCAATCATCGCGTTATAGCGGGGTTCCACTGTACTTTCTTCCACACTGGGTGATAAGCAATAAAAACACCTGGTTGAAGAAAATACTTAACCCCTTCATTACTACTGGTTTTAAATTTTAAAGCATTTTTGCTGACTGAGCAATAAAAAAACTTTAAAGAAGAAATTTTTATTATTTTTCATCCTCTATCGGATTCACTTTTTAACTTCTCTAGAGATTAACGAATAAAGAAATATATAGCATTACTACACTAAGACTACACTCTACTTACTGATTTCCACTGACAAACTAGGACTATAAATACAGACCTTTTAACCTGCACCCTGTGTTTACCCAGCATTTATTCACCTCACATTTTTTATTGTCATATACACTTCGACCAATCACGTAAGTAGCCCTAAGTCAACAACTCACCCCCGTCACATTCCATCCACAACCCGACCACGCTCACAAAAATGAGTTCATAACATAGTCTATAGATTAAAATAAATGTTCACTTCAATTAAGCTTAATATGAAATGTGTCTATAGCATAATGCACATTTCTAATAATGAAATAATATGGTTGTTGGGGGCTTTTTCTTAAGTGTCTATTTCTAAAACTAGCTAATTATACATGTCCATGATTTTTACCGGTAGTATCAAAGCGCCCTCTTTCATCCAATCTGTCTTCACAACATTATAGTACCATAGTGCATAATTGACAAAAGACTTGTTTAGGCTACTTACTAAGGACAAGTCGTTCATATTGTAGACAATAACTCCCTGGTACTGTTCTGTTCCCTCAGTTATACGACCAAGCCCAGATTTCATGATGTGATGTCCATATAAGAACTGCTGTTCAGCACTTGATTTCAGCCAAACTTTATGCTTTTTTTATGGAAAATAAAAATTCAATTTTTAATTTATTATTAAAATTTGGATAACAGTAGAAAAGGACACTTTTTTAAAAAGTAGTTGAGACCTGACCTAATAAATACTTCTAGTTCTAGCAATGTATTTCAAAAACAACATTTTTTCAACTACCGGTACCTGTAAATGAAATTAGAAAATGTATTTGATAAAATCAGTTTTAGACAAAGTATAAAATAATCTTTTGGTCTAATTTTCAATATATTTCCGAACGTAAGATGGGTAAAACTTTCTGATATTATTTAGCCAAAAAGATATTTCGCTACTGGTATTACAAAATAAGTTAAAGACTACTTTTGACCATATTATTTAACTTTTCAGGAAACCTCCAAAGTAAACAAATTAAGTTGATAAACTGGGATTTTCATGCCATTCAAATCAATTATTTTTAAATTTAAAAATATACCTTAGCATATGGTGCCAGGTAATCCAGGGCAGTTATGTGTAGGTGGAATTTCCCTGATTTTGTGAACTTGCCAAAACATGAACCAATGCTGAGAAGACAATCACCTGCAGCAGAACTGCCAATTTTCAACTGCTCTTCACTTTATAATTTTAATAAGGAAGGAACGAACATAGTCATAGTTAATAATACATTGCAAAAGCGTACAATTAAAATTATGCAACAATAATATAATTCAGGGGTATCTGCAAGATAAGTATTAAAATAGTTAAAATATTACTTCTAAAGCCTACTTGACAAACCATGATCCAATGTCTGTAGAACTTAAGCAAGATGACATGCAAACAATGTTCAGTTCATACATGATAAATAAACAGTAACTTTAACAGACACATTGCAACCATATATTACTTCATTCTTGAAGTTGTTTAATTTTTTAAAAATGATCACCATTGAAGAAATATCATTTCATAGCAAATATTGTTTTTTTCTACTTTCTGCATCCTTTTTTTTTTGAAGAGGGAATATATTAAAATCAAAGCTAATTTAAGATATTTTGTACCAGGTAGTTGAGGTACCAGTAGTGATCAAATGGTAATAAAAAAAAAATTTTCAATTGTCAGCAAGAACTGACTGATTATTTTACATATGTTTATTATGCATTAAACCCACCTCATGTAATAAACCCTGTCTCTATGAAGTCTGAAACAGTAGGCACCATCTTGTCGATCAATAAGAAGTTTGATGTTTTCACCAATACTTAATAAATAAAATGAAAAAACATGAATTAAATTTATTATGAAAGTTATTTACATTAAACTTAAACAGATTTCTAAAGCTACCAGGGGCCTATAATGCTTTCTAACAATTTATGTACCATGTATGAGGCCATCCATATAGTATGTATGCATTGGAGGGTTGTCAATTTTGGATATTTTATGTATAATGGAGGGGGGTTGGCAGAAAGTATGTCCATATATGCACAGAAAAATAATTCTGCAATAATTAACGTAAAACTCTATTTATATCCTAATGCTGTAAAAAATATGCATTCTTTTGTAATTGTCATCACACTGTTGCTTTGTGTTTTCACTAGTGAACCCCAATGCGATTTAGCATGAAAGAAACAGTAATATTTAGTCCACCATTTGCTGTTAAAGCCATCATAAACAATGTCACATGTTTAGAGGAAGTGTGTGTGTGTGGTAGGGGGCTCCACGAATTTGTGATGAAGTGTTTCTGGATGATCTTGGGCAAATATGGCTGCCCCAAAAAATTCATCTAAATGGTGCAGCAATTTCATGATAGTATGCAGGCTAGGGTCTGTGAAAATCGAGATGTCTCAACCATTCCCTATGTCTAATTTGGAAAAATGTCTGAGAATGTATGGACAAGGAGAGACATCAGCATCCAAACCAAAGTGAAGGTGCACAAGGCAGCTGTGCTCCAAAGGCTACTATATGCATGTGAAACATGGACAGTCTATTAACGCCATGCAAGAAAACTAAACCACTCTAATGCGATGAAAAATCCTCAACATCAAATGGCAGGACAAGATCCCTGACACTGAATGAAGTACTCGCATAAGCAGGCCTCTCCAGCATACACACCTTATTAATGCAGTCACAGTTTCGCTGGGCAGGCCATGTTTTGAGAACGCCAGACAACTGCTTGCCCAAAAAGATAATTTTAGTGGTGAACTCAAGCAAGGCAGGCGGTTTGCTGGGGGACACAAGAAATGCTTTAAAGACACACTGAAAGTTTTTGAAAGCATTTCACATTAGGCATGTGGGAACAGTTCTCAAAGTCTTGAGACTCGTGGCGCTCTTCCATAGACAAGGGCTCAATGCAACATGAGGCCGACAGATCAACTGTTATTTATTTATTTATTTAGGCATTTTTATATAGCGCTTACCTTAAAGCTCTAAGCGCTTTACAATTATTAAATACATGTAAACTAACTAAAATAAAAATGAGACATTAGGATAGTAACTACTATACTATAGAAACAATTAAAATGGCTATAAGACGAGGACACTTTGGCACGTTTTGGCCTATATTACAGGTCATAGGCGGATCTAAACAGATGGGTTCCATCCATCCCCTGCACCTTCTCCACCAGGACCGGCCTGATCAGCCATCTGTGCACCCACAGACAGACTCAGCCCTGGCAACAGGCCTGTGTTTAGAATGGTCATGGTTGATTTTTCCAGACAAATTATGGCATTTCTGACTACTTCTATGCCTATTAATATTATATAATATAATTTGGGATGCTCAACTCCAGGATTACTAAAAATTAACTTTAATTCAAAATATAAAAACGCTATGACTATATTTATTGATTTGTAATTTTAAATCAGCGGTTCTCAATCTGTGGGTCGTGATCCCTTTGGGGGTCAAATGACCCTTACCCAGGGGTCGCCTAAAACCATCGGAAAACACATATTTATGAAGTAGCAACGAAAATAATTGTATGGTTGGGGGCAATGGGGGTTGCCACAGCATGAGGAACTGTATTGAAGGGTCGCAGCATTGGAAAGGTTGAGAACCACTGATTTAAATTCAGATCCATCCAATTGACCTTATTGATATTGGGCAACAAGTAGCTTCTAAATGAAATTTATATAACGATTAATAACTAAAATATTAACTACTAGGCGATGCTATGACGCAAGCTTGTTGGGGTGTGCGCATGGCTGGCAAGCGAGGGTGGATATGGCTGGCAAGCGAGGGTGGATATAGCCCGCCAAACATTGGCGACAGCAATGCGTGAACTTCCCATCTACTAAAGTTACTTGACAAAAACATGAACTCAAGTTATGCACATTTAAGAATGCCAATTTCGCTATTACCCCCCCCCCCCCCTCTTCATGATCCCCCCCTCTTCATGATATGTCACTGCACACTTTTTATTTCATGCCGACCCGCGGCTTAGCAGACACCACGCTTGGCATACGCCACAAGCTGGCTGGCAGGGGAGCGGAGGGTTTGCCTGCATCTTGCTTGCCCTGGCGTATCTATATATAGCCTGCATGGTCATCTTGGTCTTATTGTGCCGTAGTTTCTGGCAAATTATATATATATAGATCTTTGAAAACAGATTTTTACTTGCATTCAACAATGACGCAGTGAATGACAAAAGATGCAGTGTTAGTGGTAGGACTTGTTCAGGTTTCATCCATCAAAAAAAATCACACGAATGATAAAAGTAAGTCATGTTTATTTTAAGTGTAACAAAAAATTACATGCATAAATTATGCAAATATAAATCATTTGCATAAAAAATGTTGGATTTCACTTTCATTCATAAAAAGTTATAAGTTTGTATTTAGTATATTCAAATTCCTACAAGAATATTATATATTTGACATATTGATAATTAATTATAATAATTATAGTTTTTACACATCAATCACATCAGTCACATTTAATTTATGTAAATACTTAAAATAGAAAATAATATAAATAATATGTATTATTGTTAAATTTTAAGGACGAATGCCACTATTTTATCAAATTTCACTAATGTATCCCTAAATCGATCCCTATGCCTAACCTGAACCCTAATTCGATCCCTATACTATGCCTAACCTGAACCCTAAATCGATCCCTCAACCTAACCTAACCTAAACCCTAATTAATTCACTGCAACTATAATAAACACACAAAAGACGCCATGGCATCCGTCCTTAATTTTAGCCCTATTATTAATTAATAATTAAGTTAACATAAATTAAGTAAAAGTTTTTACTATTATTATTTTATTTTTTTTTATCATGAATATCGTGCTTGTAAATTGGGCTCTGTCTTCGTGGCACCGACATTTAAAAAAATCTCCATCCCGAAAGGTTTAATAATTAATAGGACAATTGGTAAGCCGGACAATTAATCATTGAAATAGAGTCATAGAATTTGTCATAATCATTGTAAATGTAAATAAAAAAATTGTTGATGATTTTGATGTGTTGTTTTGATTTGGGATCGGGTATTTTACTTATACAACTTACACAAATTTTTCAAACGCTAAATTGTGATTTAGAGTTCACATTTTTAAGAGAAAGACAAATTTATACATATATTTTTTGATGAGTAATGAACTTGTGCTTACTATTTTGATAATTTGTCGAAGAAAGTATTTGTTTCCTCTTGGGTTAGTGGCCGCATGGCGAGTGGTATATAGTATAGTATATTATATTTTTACAAACCGGAAGTTTACTATTAGGAAACATAAATTATTAAGTAGAGTAGTTTCCCTTGTACACACACTTTTTTTTCTTCCGTTGTTAGGGATAACAAACAAGATGGAGCAGTCAAACGCCTCACGTTTAATCCGACCACCATAAAATACGGTGTTTAAAAATATATTTGTTTGATGCTATGTAAGCATTGTACAAATGTTTTTCATGGTTCGATAAATTCATAATTTTCAATGTCATGCATCTTTGGATATGAAGATGCCAACACTAATTAAAAAAAAAGACTCAATTTCAATAGATTTAACAAGTAATAATTGTCATTCCCCTATTGCAAATGAGCATAATAAAACTGAAACTCGGTTAGATTTATTCTTTCAAATGAAAGATTTACCAGTTGCTCACCGCATTGAAGCATTAAAATTGCTAACGCAGGAGCTGCAAAATGATATAATTGTATCCACACTGCCACCCAATTGTGGTGATCACAATTATAAAGTCAAAGCAGCTACAACAAACCAAAAGACTTTATTTCCTGAGGATGTTCTGGGAAATTTAAGGTCGTGTAGAGAATCAAATCGATCGGCAGAGATGCTAGAAGAATTGCTCAGCAAAGGATCATCACTTTCTAATGAATCAGAAGATCAGGAAGAAAATATTTTGCCAAAACCAAAAAAGGGACCAATCAAATCAAAAAAGGATTTCAACAGTAAGCTTCTTAGCCTAGAGAGCTCTATTATATTTAAAACTAATTCTTATCACTGTACTAATTTCATTTCTCATAACTAACTGGTACACAGTTCTGAAAAACAGAACATAATTACTCACCAAAATGTAAAAAATAAATTGTCAGCGTTTCAGTTTCACTGATAGATTTATTTACCATTGCACTGGTACTAGTAACAAATATTTATGAATAGTTAGCTTCAGTTGCTGAATCAATAAAAATTTTAATTAAATTATATTAATATTAGAATTTAACTAGGTAGATTATTATTAAAAATAATTCTAATCAATTATTTAAAATATAACTTCTTACTTCTATTTTAAATTTTGTATCACTTTATTTTCTACAGCCTCAAAAATCACATTAAAAAAACCAAAGAGTTTTGATGGAATTTATCTATTTAAAAATGAGAAGGACCAGTCAGCAAACACAAAGCTGTCTAGAAAAGTTAATAAGCAAATAAGGCCTTGCTCTCTTCACATGGATGACAATAATCTTGATGCCTTAGCAATTTGCAAAAGTATTAACTTGCAAGAAAAGAGCAAACAAAAAATGTACACTAATTCACAGAAGGCTCGAGTGCATCCTACTCAAGTTAAATCCTCATCATCCAAACTGTCAGCAGCTAGAATTAGTCTAAATAATGCAGCAATGGAATATAGTAAAAGGAGTTCATCATTTTCTGGTCAAGCACAAAGACGAAAATCAGTACCAGTAGGCAAAGAAGATATAAAAACAACCAAAGTATTTCTGTCAGAAAAGCAGTCGGGGGTTATTTTTGATTGTGGAATGCCTATACCATGTGCCCCGCCTGCCACACCAACACCAGGTAGACTTGTTTTATTTTAGCATAAAGATTTTCACATAGCAATGCATCAATGATCAATATAATAATTCTCTTAAGGGCCATGCTAACGCGTTTTATGGCACTGGCAAGCACATTGCTCGCAAATTGCGTCTGCTGGGCAATTAAGTAAATTAGATTTTAGGTGTGTGTATCTGGTGAGTTCCTGATTCCACCATTTATTAGATCACAACTGTCTCTGGCACCTTCCCACAATAGTGGTAACTCAATGTATTAATATTAATTATTAAATACAATTTTTCAGTTATATTCCAAGAGTCATTTGTAATGGGGTGATGATAATAATATGTATGGTATGATACTCAATGATACCTTATTTATTCATTTTTATCAGTGCCACTTTTACTTTATAATACGGTACCGGTACTAAATAAGTTGAAAGAAAACAAACAGAAATTACGGAACTAACCAATATGTTGTAATAAATCGAAGATGTACAATTGAAAATAATTATGTTTAACATAACTAACTGGACATCATTATAGTTTCAAATGGACTAAATGTTTTATTTATTTTTACCCACTCTTTAATTAGCTAAACAAAATAATATTTTTATAGCTCAAAAAAAATAATCAGAAATCAAGGATTTTTAGGATTTCACATATTTTAGAATATACCAGTAGATGTCATTATTATTATTAATTAGAGATATAAATAATAAATAGGCTTTTTTATGGACTGTCAGTACTCTCATAATTTTAGGAAAAAAATTTCACCCCAAGGGTAATCTCATGCTGCACTGCTGATGTTCATTATTATTAAATTAGACACATGCCAATATATTGTTGTGTATACTCATGTTTAAATTGCCAACCTTTAATGTTTTTAGAAAGCATCCCATATTGGCCAGAGTTCATTACCGTACTAAATATATAACATAAATAAAATGTATCATGTTTTTAATTTTCAGAGGTTCTTAAAAAAACAGAGTATGTGCCATCTTTACAGGATATAAGGGTAAGATTTTTAAGTTGGATAACCTTTATCAAAGATATAAGATAACATTTTGGCACAAGTAATGAAATACCGGGTAGTTATTTATACAATGAACAATGTCTATTAAAGCTCCATTGGAAAAAAAGTTTGTTCTGAATGAAAGGCAATCAATTAATTTGTCAACACTTTTTATATCTTATACTTTATACCAGTACCGGGTAATCTAATATAATTTTAACAAATAAGTACCCGGTACTAAAATGGAACTTATTAATATGAGCATTAAAAAATTATTTTGAAATATTTTTATTGCAACATGGATTTTGGAACAATCTCTGGAGTGGAACTCGTCACTATACGTCAACTTCATTGACTATGAGAAGGCTTTTGACAGTGTCGACAGACAGACTCTGTGGAAGCTGCTTAGACACTACGGGGTACCACAAAAATTGACAGACATAATTAAGGCTTCTTACGAAGGACTATCGTGCAGAATTGTCCACGGCCAGCAAACAACGGCGGCTTTTGAGGTACAGACCGGTGTCAGACAGGGGTGTCTGCTCTCGCCTTTCCTATTCCTGCTGACCATTGATTGGATAATGAAAATGTCTACAGAGCAGAAGAGAAATGGTATTCAGTGGACACTATGGAAACAACTTGATGACCTGGATTTTGCGGATGATCTGGCCCTAGTATCACACACACAGCAACAGATGCAAGAGAAAACCAATTATGTAGCACAGTACTCTGCTTGCATCGGCCTGAACATCCACAGAGGAAAAAGCAAAGTCCTTAAAATAAATACATCAAGCAACACACCTATAGCACTGGAAGGAACAAACCTTGAGGAGGTGGATAGCTTTACATACCTCGGCAGCATCATTGACATACAAGGAGGGACAGACGCCGACATAAGAGTGAGAGTTGGTAAGGCAAGAGCGGCATTTAACCAGCTAAAAAAGGTCTGGAGCTGCAGCAATTTGACCCTCCAGACCAAGGTCAAGGTATTCAACACCACAGTGAAACCTGTCTTGCTATATGGGGCAGAAACATGGCGAACAACAGCAGCTGGTTCAAAAAAGCTACAGACCTTTATCAACTCATGTCTCCGAACGATTTTACGAATCCGCTGGCCCACCGTCATCACCAACGAGGATCTCTGGCGGCGCACACAACAAGAACCAGTGGAAGAGTTAATCTGCCAGCGCAGATGGAGATGGATTGGCCACACCCTCAGAAAGCCCGCATCAAGTATCACGAGACAAGCCCTGACTTGGAACCCCCAGGGTAAGAGAAAAAGAGGTCGACCCAAAACAACTTGGAGAAGGGAACTGGAGGCAGACATCAAAAAGAGTGGGCACAACTGGGGACAGTTGGAGAGACTTGCCCAAGACCGGGATGCCTGGAGAGCCTTTGTTTGTGGCCTATGCCCCAGACGGGACGACAGGCGATGATGATGATGATGGACGTTGTAATAATTTATAACTAATAACACAAGTCCATTTTCTATATTTCCATTTAAGGCTCAGCGTATGGTGCGTGAAAAACTACAGACTATTGAAGATCAAGCAATGACAACAGAGAAAAAAAAGATTGAGCAGAGCTTAAAGATTGATAGAAAGTCTATGCAAGAAAAGAGAATGGAGTTGAAACGGATCCAAAGATTACAGGTTTGCATATAAATATATTAGTTTTCAACACATTTTTATTTTAATTTTAACACAATTCTTGTCAAGGAGCATAGTAAAAAACACCACAATATTTAGGGTATATGTTACTGAAAATGTAGCATAATGTTGAATAATGAAATGGACAAATCTTTTAAAAATTAGGATTTGGTAATATATATAAAATAAAACTACCAAGGTATAAGTATAAGATGTAGCTTGTGAAACTGTCAACATCAACAATCATATGATATATAGACAATTTTTAACTACTGGTAGTGGTAGTCCATGACCGACAAAGATTTAGATGATCCTTGTCCTAATGATAAGTCATAATTTTCCTTGAGTCGAAAAATCAAATTTTTGAGGAATGTACCAATATTCTAAATATTGCGATTTAAGTATTCTTAATTAATTTTGTCATTTGTTGATTTTACAATCTACTGAAAACAGAAATCCATCCATCCCCGTGGCAGTGCTATAGCCCATGTAAAAAATGAAAAATATAAATGTGTCCCCTAAATAGATGTATGAATTACTATACTATTTGGTACACTCCTAAACTTAAAATTGACGTTTATACGATTTTCAATTTTCTTAAGCAAAGGCTAACTTTTCCATTCCAGATTTATGCTCTGAACAAGGTGATGACTGACCTAGAGTATAAAAATTTTGTGATGTTCATGAGAAGTGTAGAGTGATCATGCTTTCATGGAAATCTAGATCAATGATCTACTTACAACCATAGACTTGTTTCTAAACTTTTTTTACAAGCCCAGCTGGAGCCATAATAAATCTCATACATGTTTTTTTTTTTTTAGTACCGGTACATACCAAACATGAATAGAAAAATTTCCAACATTTAACTGTCTTTTACAAAATTAATTACGGGACAATATTTTTTTTTTGCTCAAGGATGACTTTGTTATTGTCTCTTTATTGAAGTTATCCTCTGTTGCTAATTTAAAATCTACTTGTCTTGTGAATATTTTAAAATCAAAATAATAAAATTAACTTGCAAGATAAGCATAATGCATTGTTATTTGCATCCATATGAGCTATATCTTTAACCTTACTCTTTGTTGTTGGGACCTGTGCATAAGAGACATACCAACCTGGCACAGGTTTGCAGGACACGTTTCTAGTCCCTGAGCACAATATTTGGATGCTATTAATAATTTTAATCAAGGTTATGGCATTATAGCCTATAACAAAACCTAAATTACTGACCAAATTATGTGTGCAAATGCATTGTAGTAAATTGTAGCTGACCGGATTTGAATATTAAGTACTTGATTTTAATTTTTAAAACATGTTAAAATGTCTATATTTACTGTACAGGTATTAAAATACCGTACCCAGTACAATTTTTTTCCAACATATTTATGCTACAGCATACCAAACTACTGTTACAGTACTTTAATATGAATCATAAATATGGAGAATAAATCATTAGTCAATCGGGCAAATATATCTTGAGAAGTATACAGCTGCCAGTTTTTTGTGGAATTGTGCCAGAAATATCTTACTGTAACTGTAACAGAAAAAACGTAGTGCATTGTTTTACTGAGGCATCTTATACTTTAAACAATATATCAACCCACTATCACTATAAGTACTAAAAGCATTATTTCTGCATATTTACAATCTGTAACATTATTTTTGTTAAAAGTGTATGACATGAGTTTACTTAAATATGCTTTAAACTTTGTATCTAAGTTGGGACAATGATTTAAATTTTGTGTAAGATTGGAGGAAATACTTTGATAACACAGTGATGAGTTTAACAATTTTTTTATTAGTAATTAGCACTTAAAAATGTAGAAACGTGAATTTATATTTCTACACTAATGTACTGGTACCATACCAGCAATTAAACATTCATTTAAAATAAAGAAATAATTTAATTCAACAGTAAATTTGAAATGTTTTAACAATTTTTATGCAGTTATTTCCAATGGCAGAGTTGTTGCAAAACAGCAATAGTAGTTTGTGACAACATTCATAACATTTAACCTAAGGTTTGGCCTATATACTGATACCTTTTATACTGTTCCAAAACAATATTTTTTGTGTGCTGCATTATTTTACACAACACACAAACTCCCCCCCCCCCCCTTTTAAAAATCAAATATAAATATAGAATTTCTATTAGAAATGAGTGTGAGCATTCTCTTAGGGTTAGTTTTTGTACTGTGAATGATATATTTTATTATAGATGTTTACCAGTTACGTCCTGTATATACCTATGCCCTGTATCGGTGGTACATTGAATTGCTAGCAAAATATCAGTATTATTCAAAAAGTATTGTTTACAATTACATATGCTGCATTTAGCCATTCAGCTAAAAAGAAAATACAATTTTACAAGAGCTTATCAAGAATGAATTGTTTTAATGAAGCTGTTTAATATTTTTCTCTCTTAAAATGAACAATAAGCAAATATCTATAATTGTATCTGACTAAATGCTTTCATTGAAAAGAGGCATTTACAATTTGATGTAAATATTGAATAATAAAATACCAAATGCTAAATTTTTAAAGTAGTTAAAGCAATTAACTTTAGATTATTTATGTTGTAATAGTGTTTATTTAACTGTAATTTCATGTTTAATCTGTCTGGAGATGTTTAGTATCACATTTAGCGCCACAGCTAGGATATCCATACCTAAAAAGAGATCAAACAAAATTACTGAGGTGAATTACATGATGACATAAAGTATTAATATTGAAAGCAAAAGTTATATTTTGCCAAGATAACATGATATTTTGATTTTGTTTAACTTTTTGTACATTGTCTTTTTAAACCATACAAAGATTTTTAAATACTTTCAGTAAAACATAATAATAGCTATCATTTAACAGCAGCATCTGAAACATAATTTTTACTGGAGATCAATGGTTAAAATTTTATATATTTTCTGGTGACTAGCAATTTCATCCAACTACTTTTGGGTCTATCGATTCATAGTTGAGTGTTATTTTCATTTATATGTAAGTGGTCATGAATTGCGACCAAGTTTAAAAAGTTGTCAGAGCAATTCCTAGAAAGATTAAATTAGAAGGCATCAAGTATCAACGTTATTCTGTCTGTTATTATGAAATTTTGCTATTCATGAAGTGTACTGTGCCAACCTGAAGAGGGACTTGTTAAACAGAGAATCACACCTATAAAAAGTCTAAGATGAACATCCTTTCAACTGAACATAAGTGATACTCCCGTTTGCTGATTTTTTTAAGGACACAGGTGTGTACCAGAACTCTTAGTTTGGGTGTATACTGTACTTGTAAGGATATGTATGTATATACCTAGCCATACTTAAGTAATGTAAGTATGCATTTAGAAAGGAACAACAAATCATTGCTTCTTTAAAATCATGCACTCATTTTTTTATATAGCCATCTTGCGGCACTCAAGTCAATAATTCTGACATGAGGAATTTGATAATGGTCAGTTTTGATTTTTAACAACAGCATAAAAAACATGTTTTAAAACAATATCTTTTGAAGCATCACAATCACATTTTCTTTCATATAAATTTTTATATACATTATAAAGAAACAAGTGGTTAAAATTACTTACGTTTGCAATTATTTTTCTGGCTTTTTTAGCACATCATACTTTAGAGACTCATGATAGACCAGCTTGTGTGGCTTCATTTGTTGAAGCTGCTGGTTTAAAATAAAATGTACGGTACTTAAAATTAAAATTCTACAAAAAAAATTACCATAACACATTAAATTTTGCAACTGCAAAATGATATCCATACTTCAAATGTAAGTGTGCATTTAGTTAGAAAGGAACAACAAATCATTGCTTCTTTTCAATCATGCACCCATTTTTTTTATAGCCATTTTGCGGCACTCAAGTCAATAATTCTGACATGAGGAATTTGTTAATGGTCAGTTATGATTTTTAACAACAGCATAAAAACATGTTTTAAAACAATATCTTTTGAAGCATCACAATCACATTTTCTTTCATGATTACAATATAAATTTTTATATACATTATAAAGAAACAAGTGGTTAAAATTACTTACGTTTGCAATTATTTTTCTGGCTTTTTTAGCACATCATACTTTAGAGACTCATGATAGACTAGCTTGTGTGGCTTCATTTGTTGAAGCTGCTGGTTTAAAATAAAATGTACGGTACTTAAAATTAAAATTCAACAAAAAAAATTACCATAACACATTAAATTTTGCCACTGCAAAATGATATCCATACTTCAAATGTTAGTGTGCATTTAATTAGAAAGGAAAAACAAATCATTGCTTCTTTTAAATCATGCACCCATTTTTTTTATAGCCATCTTGCGGCACTCATGTCAATAATTCTGACAAGAGGAATTTGATAATGGTCAATTTTGATTTTTTAACAGCAGCATAAAAACATGATTACAAACAATATTCTTTGAAGCAATACAATCACATTTAATTTTATGTTTGCTATATAAAGTTTTAAATTCATTATAAAAAACAAATGGTTAAAATTACTTACTCAGGTCTCTTGCGAACATTTTTCTTGCTTATTCAACATATCACATTTAAAGAAACATCATGGAATAACTTGTGTGGTTTCATTTGTTGAATACATTGCTGTGTTGCGTCTGGTTTAAAATTAAAAATTTAACCAGATTTGATATAACACTTTTTATTTTTTATTTTCATCCAATAGATTATAATTATATATGTCAATAGTCAATAGATTATGTATGTCAGTCATCCAGAGAAAATGAATTACATTACACCCTCTTGAAGTTGGATAACGTAACTTTTTTTTTTTAATGTTCCCACCTTGCGGCACTCAAGTCAATAATTTCTGACAAGAGGAATTTGATAGTGGAAAAAATTTTCTTACTTATTCAATTTTTAGCATTCACATTTAACATTATGAAGATTTTGTTCCAGCTTCTAGAAAGCTTTGGTTAACTTTTTATGCATTTTTAACTATAAGAAAAATAACTTACTGTTTACCAGTCAATCTTAAATTGAGTAAAATATATATCCAGTTCTCCCATCAGTGTCCGAGTTCTTTCACATGATGCAGCATGTGTTCATGGGGATATTGCCTTTATTCAAACTGTTATTTCTGTTATTTTAAAATAGTTAAAATAGCCAATAAAACAATATGGCTGATTTCTCATTAAAAAATTAAATGATGGTCCAGTGGGGTCTAAAATATTAAGAGAAAAATGTCTATTAGAATTAGAATCTGTGTTTCTTAATATCAACTACTTAGTATTACAATTGTTAACTTTTTTTTATGCATATATAATTATATTCTACATAAGTATAAGTACTGATATATAAAGTAAGAAAGTTCTAAAACATTTTGTCATATTTTACTAACTGTTACAATTTACGGTAGTAACTAATCATTAACAACCTGAGCTAAACACGTACAGTACAGGGCATTATATTGAAGAAATTATTTTAATATTGTTATTTATTAGCCTAATATAAGTTATTTGCATTATAAGTTAATCTATTCAATGATTGTTGATGAGTTTCAATGAAAATGTAGTTATAGCATTTTCTTATTGAAAGCTTTCAGCTTTTCAATATGGCCACCTTGCGGCACTCTAGTCAATGTATCTGACTAGAGGAATTTGATAGTGGCAAAAATAAAAAACACACAACAAAATTTAATTTTCAACTAAAATTTCAATTTACATATCCCTCTTCTAAAATTAGGGTTCACATTTTAGCATAAATAATTTAAAGGTAATCTTTTTTCCCCATATTATTATGTAGGCTATTAGTATTACTATTTAATTTATTGACCAAGTATTTTTTTTTATTTGAATAAAATAATAAAAAGAAATTAGAAAAGCAAGTGTAGGCCTAGAGCACAGCAATTAAATCTAGATTAGGGTCTCCCAACCGTTTGTGTTGTACCTTCTGCACCACCTAAAAATTGTTTTACTAAGTCTAAGTCTTGCACCCCCTACAAAGACAAAAGTAACAATAACAATGCATATTAAACAATTTTTTTTCAAAATTGACTTCTAATTTTTTTTATTGAATTACAAAATGTCACCATAATTATTCAAACATAACATAAGCTAGTAAAAGCTAGTAATTATTAACATAATTAATAAATTATATTAACTTATTTAAATATTTATTTTACCCTTTTTCTTACCAAATGCAAAACATAAATTATAAACATGATACTTCTAAATAGCATAATATTGTCTAACTTCCCAATTAATGTAAAAAGGGCTCTCAGTAAAATACCTAATCACTAATCTGCAGTAATTTTTTCTTCTTCACTCTTCTCATGTCAAAATTGGAACCAGTTTTAATGTTTGTTATTCCATATCATTCATTAATTTTTATTTTAACCATGTTACTAGTTACATAATTTTGATAGCTGGCTCCAAAACAAAAAAAAGACAGACTCAGTGACTGAATATTTATTTTATGTAGGCTGTAGATGCCAACAGTAACAGCTACTAACATTTTTAACTTTTAACAGTTGGCCTAATTTATTCAAATATTGCTTTTTTAATTAGGCTATAAATTATGGCAAGGCTTCGCCAAGGCCAAGTTAAATAAAAAAATGCTCAAGTTTTGAAGCGAAGTGTTGAATCACCGCCACTCTGATTTTTAATTAGGACATCTATCAGCCTACTTGTTTTTTTTCCCTGCCATAATCATATATCCAAAAGAGCCTTTTGACCTTTTGTAATGTAAATTACGAGTTACTTACCAATTAACAGTGACTGAGTCATTTGGCAAATCTATGTTAAGACCAAGGCCAAGGGGGGCAAGGCAGAGAGGGTGTTCATGTCAATGAGCTCAAGGATCTGGCAGTCAAAATTGTAAAATCAATGAATTAAATAATTAAACTTAAACCTTTTCAGACTAATCAGACATTCAAGTCTAAGTCTAAGGTGACCATTGCCATTACTCAATCATTACTGATACTACTACTGAATTTACCTTGCCTCAAAATAAAAAAAATATATTTTAAAATATTAGGCTGATATTAAGGAGGGATGCCACAGCGTCTTTTGTGTGTTTATTACAGTTGCAGTGAATTATTAGGGTTCAGGTTAGGCATAGGGATCAATTTAGTAATTTAGGGTTAGGCATAGGGATCCATTTAGGGTTCAG